ACCTTTCTGATGAACGAGACGATCCAGAGGAAGAGACGAAAGGCGATGTTGAGGACGAAATTCAGGAAGCAGCTCCTGGTGACCTTGGACTAGCAGAAGCTATCACGGCCTTGTCCAATGATATCGACCGCCTCATAGCGCAAGATGCTATAGTCGAGTCATTGACAAAGAAGGCGGACCTCACTAACAACACAGCCGAGCTTCGCATCCTGCGGAAGTCCAAGGCGAGTCTGCAACGGGAGATCCGTCGCAAAGAACTTCAAAGGCAACAGTACGTTGTTCAGGAGAGCGACAACAGCTTGTACGGGCGGTCAACGATCAAGATCAAGGCCATCCAAGTGGGCAAAGAAGACGATGGAAGAGAATTCGCCCTGTATGTGATTGAGGTGCAAAGAGATGCTGGCGAGAAGATGCCAGCGGCGACATGGATGGTTACTCGCCGGTATAGCGAGTTTCACGATTTGCACCAGAGACTTCGCTCAAGATATCCTTCTGTTCGGAATCTGGAATTTCCCAGACGAAGGATGGTTATGAAGTTCCAGAGTGAATTCCTTCGCAAGCGACGGACCGCCCTTGAGAAATATCTCCGAGACCTCCTTCAGCTCCCAGAGGCGTGCAGAAGTCGGGACTTGCGAGCATTCTTGTCACAAAGTGTGATAGCGCAAGGTCAAGATCTTGTAGACCGCGAGGACAAAAAAGACATGATCACAAGGTTTTATGACTCCGTCACGGATGGAATGGAAGACATCCTCGGCAACATTCCTGTCTTGGATCAATTATCTGTGGCTGGTCAGAATCTCATTGCGGCAGCCACCAACCAGCTGAACGCTATGCCACTACCTGTTAATGAGGACGGTGTCAGCGCTGCTGAGGCCGAGGCTGAACTGAACGCTTTCGAGAACAAGGAGCTAGAGTCTTTTATCAAGCCTATCTGCGACATCTTCCTAGAAGTCTTTGAACTCAACCGAGGAAACAACTGGCTTCGAGGGCGTGCTGTGGTTGTTGTCCTCCAGCAGCTACTGGGCGGTACAATCGAGCGCAAGGTACGAGACAACGTCAAGATGCTCGTCCAGGAAGATGCCATCATCAAGTACATCGCCCTGCTCAAGGATAGCATGTGGCCCGGTGGTGAAATGAATAAGAACAAGCAACCAAGGACGGCATCAGAAAAGAAGAAGACGAGGACAGAAGCCAGCTTGATGTTAGCTACTCTTATTCCCGACCTAGCAGGAAGCGTTGTCGGAAGAGTGAATGCTCAAGCAGCCAGCCGGCGTGTTTTTGCAACCTTTAACAATTCGAGACTCAAGTAAGTTGTTGATGCAAAACCGAATTGCTGTTGATTGTCACATGGCTAACAAGACGTCTGATCTCAGCGCACACTTAGCTTTTACGTTCATGGATGAATTGATAGAAACTTTATTTGGTTAAGACGCGCAGGCTTTGCTTACTTGGTCAATTTGATACCATTCGGATGCGTTTACAGATGACGCGGCAGACCGTCCGCTGGGAGTACGAGCATCCAGCCCAAACCGGCGGCATACGCCGGAAACGATTATGAGGTTGCATGAGCAGGCGTCTGGGTTAATATTTCTTCGTCTGGGAGTACATACATACACACACTCATGACAGGGGAGAGGAAGGTGGATGGCCCAAGAAGTGGCATATAATGCAAAAGTCCAGACGGGAATCTATTCACGGAAAGATGTTATGAAGCGACAAGACGTACGAGACTGTGTCCATGACGAAGTCCACAGGAGGATAGGTAGATCTCCGGGAATCGCGATGAGTTGAAACTGTATAGTCAACTAGGTAGATACGTAAAACTACATGACGAAGCTAGGCAGGAACCCCCACATTCGCGAGGTCGACACACTCAAGTCACTGGTGACAACTTTGGAAAGCGTGCAATCCAAAAGCTAGCACATGAACTTGCACATTGGCCCATGTGACAGTGAGTCTGAGGTTTCGAACAGCAGAAGCGATGGTTTGAAAACACTCCTTCGTTGGCAGATAAGTCAGCAGAGGAAAGGGGAACATATGTGGAATAGGCAGGAACAGTAAAGAGGCCTTTTCTGTTACAGAACCAGGTCGGATACGAATGAGGATGTCTTTTGCTGGGTCGTGTGAGTTTCGAGGCCAGGCTGACCTCGGGTTTCGGGGTCCCACCATCCCCTAATAAGGGCGGACGACTCGGTTGAGGTTTTGATGATTAAGAGCACCTAGTATTGGTCTGGGGTGTACTGGGTACCGAACGCTCGTTATCCCTTGGATCAGTTTGGCTTCCCTGTTGCGATACCGCACATCGGATTGTCAAGCTTTGTTGGGCGACACGGCGACCACGATCTATCTATCAATCAATCGACTATGATCAGTGAGATCGCGTGTTAAGGCAGTGTAAGGTAATCAGATGGCATGCGCGCGACCGACCCACTCTCTCATGTCATCTCTGATATGCCATGGATAGCTGTTGCGGGAGGAAGAGTGGAGAGTTGGAAGTTGGTTTGTTGCACAAGCAAGTCACAAAGTATCAAAGTACGAATAATCACAGTCAGCCTGCTGCAGTATCCGAACTGTCTTGGCACGCTTGGCTTCTTGCCATTGATCTTCCGATTTTCCTCAAGGTCACGGCAATCTCGGCTTGGGGGTTTTTATCGAATGTGACTATGAATTGAGACGTCGCCTGGTGTCGATTGCCCTATTGCGGGTTGGTGAAACGGACAGGTCTTGGGACTGCCTGGGCTTGGTTACCAGATGCAGCGGGTCGTACGGGAAAAAAGGGGGGTGCCATGGCACCGGGTGGCACCGATCTGGAGACGATGTCGCCCGGTGTGTCTCTGTTGTCTCTGTCTCTCGCTGAGACTTTCTCCTGTGGTATGATTGCCGAACGAGACGGGCCACTGGTGTGTCCCATATTCACTTTGTAACTCACGTGGATACAAGGCCCGACTGGGCAGGGCGATGTTGGGAATCGGAATAGGACCGAAGCCAAGACGAGGTTGTTATCCTTGACGGAGATCTCTCTTATTTCGTCCCCTCACTGTTTTGGGACGTTAAGGGGAGTTTGAAGTTGCGCCGGCGACTCCTCCTGTTCTTCTCCTCCCTCGGACCATTGAATCCATTGCAGAAACAAAGAAATTAAACCTGGAAAAAAAGGAGGATGGGGAGGGAAAGCGCCACAGTGACCGTTGGAGCTAGCCACAGGTGAAGGCCTTCAAACTGAAGAGTGTCAAATTCAACGTGCATGAGCTAGCCTGGAATCGGAATGCCTCTTCTTGTAGCCGCGATCAGTGACCAGTATGAATACCTCAGGTACCTGTAGGCTGTAGAGCGTCTTCCCCTGAATTTGTCGCAAAGCCGAACCGAATCGTTATCTAGAGCACAACAGCAATGAAAGTTGCCTGCCCTTCTAGCTATAAGATTTCTGGTGAGATAGACTCGTGGAGCCGAATGGAAGCTTGATCGGATGAAAGCGAGCCCTCGGACATGATGTTCCCCTTTCGCAGACCCTGGTCTGGCGAGGTATCCGTACCTGAGCCGGGTTAGAGCGATGTAACTGATCTGGCAAAACGGCAAGGTTCCCTCCACGAGGCAAAAAATCCAACAAGCCAGAGGCTTCTGGTACGTCTTCCCGAGTTATTCGAGCCATCGCTGTTGTAATAAATGAGTGGCTTAATGAAGAGTGACTCTTAGGGTGGTCATCAACTCAGGACATGAGCGCAAGAGCTCTTAGGTAGATAGAAGAGGATGAGTATTTTGAGTGATGAAGAAAGCAAGGTATTCGCTGTTCTGCGACTCAAAGAAAGAACCTAAGCTCGTGTGCGGATTCCTTCAGGAAGTACCTTGGAGTGAGGTGAGGTTCCCTACCTCAGGTTCCCACCATTGTCAGGTACGAGCCAGGATCACGATGGTCGAGGAGCCTGAAATCAAACGCGATCATTGGCCGATGCTACGTCTAGTCCGGGGGGCAGACGCTCTCCTCATTGCTCAAAGGTACCTTGGGACCAGAAGAAGAAGGCCGCAGCTGTGCTCTGGGGCCCGGCTGGTGGCCCATCACGCCCAGATTCAGTCTTCTCCTCCTCGCCTCCCCTCCAGGCCCATGTCTGATTCTCTTTTTCGCTCCACCCTCCTTCTTTTCGAACTCACAGCTCCTAGCCTTCTGCTGTTTCCCCTGCTCCTTCTTTTTTTCCCTTCAAGAAGAAAAGGAAGATTTCAGGCCTCTTCTCCTCTTCTCCTCTTCTCCTTCCTACGGTCTACGCAGTACCTACCCCGTACTGAATCGCAAGGAACATAGGTTCACGAGGTACCCGCTAATTGTACCGCGGTACCTCCCGTCGCAGAGGTAAGGAACTTTACCGCCTGCCCAAGGGTACCTACCTAAGCTACCTGAGGTACGGATGCCAACCTACCTAAGCAATATCAAATAACTTCCATTTGCCTGACCACCACACCTGCATCTCTCACCTTGTCCCATTCTCCTCAAACCACCACAACCACAACCATTCCAGAACCCCTCCTCCTCTTCCTCTTTCGACTCCTGCGCCCTCGACCTCTCACACAGTCAGACTCCATCTCTGCTCCGACCAATCGCATCGCGACTCGACCGATCGGGTCAGCGTCGAAATTCCCGTCCTCATAATATCCCCGCCTTCCAACCGTCCCCCGTCGATTCAATTCTGCTCTCGCAGACGTCGAGCGACGACTAGACCGGGCATCTCTCCTTCTTGAACCGTCAGTATACCTGATTTTTTGCGCCTTGGTCAAGCTGGCCTCTACCGTTGGAGCCTCCTCCTTCCCGGTCCAGTCGCCCCAATATCTGCCTTCCCAGCTATTCCTCTAGGACTGCTCCGGAAACTCTTTGGACATCTCTCCCTGCCCGGTCTACGAACCATCGCCTTCGCGAATCCTCCTCTATCCAAACCGGAATCTTGGGCCAATTTTTGTTTTTGTCCAACAACCGACCCTGACTGTTTATCCAAGGACGCATTATATTCAACGACACAATGACCGAGGTATCCTCCACCAGGCTGTACCTGGGAAATCTCCCTCGCAATGGTAAGCTCAGCCTTGTGCATCACCCGGCGCGTTCTTGTCGCAACCTAACTAACCTTCGTAGCCACCAAGGCTGATGTCGAGGCCCATTTCGCGACCCATGGCACTGGTGAAATCACCGAAATCAAGCTCATGAACGGATTCGGCTTCATCGAGTACAAGGATGCCATGGATGCTCGCGATGTTGTTCCTGGTAGGTGGTCCCTAGCTATAGTTATTGCTGCGTCTATACGCATTACTCTGTTACTAACTTCTTGTCTAGCCTTCCGTACGTCCTACTGCACCGTCCCACCACGTAACGATATCCCTTCATTTCTGGTGCGCTAACCATAGCGTTAAAAAGATGGATCCGACTTCATGGGCGAACGCTTGACTGTACAATTTGCCCGTGGAACCCGTCACAGGGAGGGCGGCAGTGCCGGTGGCTTTGGCAACAATGAGCGCGCTCCTCCCAGGCCTCGCCGCACTCCCCATCGAATGCAGATCACGGGACTTCCCACCGATACCAGTTGGCAGGTCTGTTGTTCTCTCCCCATTCTCTAAGCTGGATTCCTGGATTCCCTTCTCTTCTTGCGCCTATGGCGCGCCTGGACCTTCATCGTACCCTTCGAGGTGGACTGTGGACTTTCCGGCATGCTGTGTAGCCTCAGCTCCAAGCCATCGGCGGCCTGTCAGTCGACAAGTCCGGACCGTGCTGCGCTCCTGAAACTTGCTTTCCCAAGTCCATGGCCGTTTCTTTGAACCGGCGCGGGCCTGCCAAAGTAGCGACGGAACCCCAATGCCGGACGACACCACCCCTGGCTTCAATCCCCTTGGCTTGCTGCCGACTGGTCTATGAATTCTGGATTATCAGCCCTCTTCGGCCCATCAAACCGATCCTGGACACCAACTTACATGGATTCTGGATATAGGACCTCAAAGACTTTGCTCGTCAGTCAAGCCTTGACGTTGTCTACTCGGAAACGCCCCGCGACGGCAACGGGCGCGGGTATGTTGACCTTAGCTTAACAATTGCATTTTTGCGTTTACTAACAAGACTCCATCCAGTTTCGTTGAATTCGAGACTGCGGCAGACTTGAGAACTGCTGTTGAGAAGCTTGATGGCCGAGAATTCAAGGGAAGCCGCGTTACCTGTGTAGCAGACGTAAGCAGGAGCAGATGACCGATGATGGGAGGATATTTGTACTCACGTTTTACCAGACACAGCCGGACATGCCGCCTCGCGGCGATATGCGCAGCGCTCGGTCTCGTTCGCCCGGCGGCGGCCGTCGACCCTACCCGCCTCCAGTTGACGACTACGACCGACGTGGTCCTCCGAGAGGCTATAGCCCACGCAGAGATGGCTATCGTGAGGGATACCGTGAGCGTAGCCCCCGCCGCGAGTACTACGACGAGCGTGCTCGTTACCGCTCTCCTCCGCGTCGCCCCATGGACGATTACCCCCCTCCACGAGGCCGTTACGACGACCCTTACCGACGGGATTATCCCCCGCCGCCCGACCCCTATGTCAACGGCAGGGGACCGTACGATCGCCCCCCTAGAGACTTTCCCCCTAGGGAGGCAGGTTACCCGCGTGATGGGTACCCTCGCGAGTATGAACGTGGTGGCCGTTACTGGTAACTCACTCCTGCTCATAAACTTGCCTCATAGGGGCTGTCCTTGACTCTGAATAGATCCTGGAAGCACCTCCACTCTAATGGCTCAAGCCAAAATGGTAAATAGCGGTGGCAGCAAGCGGTGTTCCGTGAGAATGAATTAGGATGAGGCAGTCGAGCAGTGTTAGGCTTGCACTTCTACGGTGTTCGTCAAGCAGACGTCCCAGGCGTGTTTCAAATTGCGATTTTTGTCGAAGCATCATCAACAACACAGCTGCGGATGCAACAATTCGGGGTCCGTTGAATTCAGGAGGGGGAAAAACGTCGAGTGCTGATGTATATTGTACGATTACATGCATGGATATCCACCAAAAATGAACAGGCGTATTTGCCTTATGAGCACAATCTTGGGTCTTTGGGGACCGACTTTCGAGTCAACTGTACCACGACATGCATCATGGTTCAGGCCGGATGATCTGGTTTTCTTTGAAACCAGCTGTGGCGACTGAGGGCCATCTAGACACTTGGCATCGGAAAGAGCAAGACACCTTTTCGTTTGTAAATATTCAATATTCGATGTTGGTGAAAGAGGATTATTTGGTATCCAAGCCGACTATCATGTCCGCATCGACAGCAGGGAGTAGCTAGCAGTCTGCCTACCTTATCCCGCCCATCATGGCACCATGCCTTCAGCCCAGGCTAGGTACATACCGAACGCCCAAAAGATTTCAAAAGCATTGCCTAAGTCAAGCTCAACCCCTAGAGTTCCCCCTCTTCAACTTAGTAGACGAGTACAATACCAATCGCTCCGACGACGCATCTCATCACCGACATACAACACAAATCATGACAAGCATACATATACAACACTGAATCCGCCTTCCGTGCGGCAATGCGATTATGCCGTCTTCTTCCACTGGGTATACACGCCAATCAAACTGCTAACGGTGCCGGCAAGGCCGACGATACCGTCATCGAAGTTGGCCCACGCGAGGGCAGAGGTCGGGACGGTCAAGTCGCAGAGGTCGGACATGAGTTGCAGGCGGCCGGCGGCGCGCTCACTGTGGTATTTTGTCAGCTTGTTGTTGCCAGAACATTGGGAAGTGCATTCAAGGGTTGGGGGGGGGGGTGGTGAAAGGCGCGAACTATATGGAACGTACATTGCTATTCTCTTGGCCTCGACGACACCCTCGCCCTCCTTCTTGTCGACCTTGGCCTCTCGCTGCTGGAGGCGGTAGAGGGTGTAGGTCTGGGCGACGACGCTGAAGAGGATGCCAATGGCCCAGAAGCGGTAGGCCTCCTTTTGCAGCCTCTTTGCGCCCTCCCACTTCTTGATGCCGGCGGCGTCGAGGACGGTGGCGGCGTCAAAGGTGAGGTAGCCAGCGTAGCCCAGCTGGCGGCCGACGGCGGCGTAGCGGAGGACAGGGTCCATGGTTTTGGCGTCAGAGGCGACGGCGGCGGCCTTGAAGTGCTCGACGTTTTTGCCGATGCGCATGATCTTGCGGGTCAGGCCGAACTGCTTCTTGATGGCATCCCAGGGGGCGATCTCGGCCTTTGAGCCATTGGTGCGGAAGAGGTACCAGGCGTAGAAGCGGGCAAAGTACTGGAGGGTGCGGAGGATCTTGTCGCGGCCGACGGTGGTGGCTACGAACTTGTTGTAGTGCGACACGGACGGGTGGTAGATGAGGGCGTCGGCGACCATTTTGGCGGTTTCTTGATGGGATTGCAAATCACCGGATGGAATGGATGCGATGGTGGAGTTAGATGATGATGTTTTGCTGGATTATGGGGATGGCCTTTTTTGGATGGGGAAGCAGCGCGAGATGGATGAGTGGGCTGGTCTTCACGCGGAGGTTGTAGCATTCAAGTATGGTATCGAACGCAAATAGGGAGTCTTATCGGGGGTGGTGCGGTTTGGAGAGAGCACTGGGCAAGCCGATCGGCTCAAAGACGAGCTGCCACATGCCGAGGTCCGCCAGCGAACCCGAGACATCGCCAGAGCAGGCTGGGAGCCTGGGGACCCGGGGAGACAGACTGAAGGACGCGCAGCTGAGCAGCCATAACGCCAACAGCAACAGGAGCCGGGTGCGGAGAAGGCTCTCACGTGCCTGAAGACCTTCTTCACTGAAGCGCGTTTTGGACTCAGCCAGCTTAGCTAAGGAGGTGGGGCGGTTCGCTGGGGAAATTGAGTGACCCGTGACAATTGACGGCAGTACGTTTTACCCAAGGCGAAAGTGGCCAGTCATCAGCAACTTATATCCCAATTACCAAGTGCATACAGATAATCCCCTTTGCGACTAAGGTACTGCGTGGGTAGCAATCGCGCCAAGGATTCTGTGGACGCCTGAGAACGAGACGTTGAGGCGTTTCCCTCTTGATTCCAATCTTTACCGTTTTTCCAGTCACGAGCAACCAAATGGTCCTCATCTCTCAGAGGTAAAGTACGGATATTGGATCTTCCCTCTCCACATCCAGTATGGAGAGGCTGAATTCCCATGACTACACAATGACTAGTTTTTCCTCCTATGGTAGTTGTAAGCAGTGGGTTCCCGGAAACCCCCTTGTCATTCACAATCCGTCCCACTTCTCGTGTCTTTCTATTTCCATCCAGCAGCTGGAATCGACCCCCGTCAGTCCTATCAAGCAGCAGTATGGTACGGTCAAAGTCAAAACCTTTTTCTCACCGCAGACTGGGAAAGAACATGGAGAATGAAACATTGCAACATCCATATCCAAAGACAGGGGAGAATGGTCGTCAACGCAAACTACCAAAATACAGAGGCATCATTACTTATCCGTCCGATCCAACGACTTGGAAGGTAGAAGAAAAAGGCGCTAGGGTCCAGATTCCAGAATACTTTCATCCCATCGTCCGCATGATGTCACCCCGTCCATCGGTCATGTCTTATCCGCCGTGCTTCTCTGCCGCTCCTCTACCTGCTCTTCTCCTATCCCCGAAAGAGTTGCCTCTGGCTCTGGAGCCCCTCCCCCTCGACGCGAGTTATTAGTGTTGCTAAGCTGCCCTGCCCACACAAAGGTGCGGCGTGGCCCCCCGCCCCCGCCAAAGGCAAGGTTCTCTGTTCCAGCCCAGCCGCCCTCTCAGAGTCCCCTCTCCCAAAGCCACCCGTAGACTGCCGCAGCCATCGTGTGCGCTCGCTGCACACCGCGCCGAGGGTTTCCGAGAAATCCTCGAGGGGCGCCTTGCGTCCTCTCCTTGTTGCGCCCGCGTCCCCATGTCTCGGGTTCCCCTCGGCCGGAGGTGCCTGCGGTTGGCTCCACTTTGTCGTGGTGACTCGGGATCGAGCGCGATAATAGGACGTGTGGCCCTGTGATAGCCGTATGCCGAACTGAGGGGCATTTTCCCATGGCTGGGCCATGGACCATGCTTTTGCCCATGGAGAGCCAGAAGAGGACCCCTTGGTACGGTAGTACACATACGAGAGCTTCCGGCAACGCTGATGATTGAAGTCTCAGGTAATTACCTAGTAATAGTCCATGCCCCCAGACCCGGGACTACAAACAAGATCCATTTCCCTTCCAATTCCTCCTTCGTGATCGCATCTCCTGACTACTACTTTTCTCTCTCTTCTCCCTCCCTTCCTCCTACAACATTTACCTTCATCTACTTACCTCTCTACTATCCTTCGGCTTACATTCCGAACTATTGTGTCAGTGCGCAACACTCTTTGTTAGAGCTCCCGTGAACCCCGCCATCGCAAGTGTCAACCCCTCGTCCTCCATTGGAATTATTCCGTAAGTTTCCTCTCTGTTTACAAGCTGTCCAGACCATCTCTCCTCTACAATTGATAGCTAAGACTCGGTATTGTAGACCCAAATCTAGCCCATCATGTCAGCCTACACAACAAACGCCGGTGAACAAGAGACCGAGAAGATCAACACCAACATTATCACCTTGACCCGTTTCCTGACGGAAGAGCAAACCAAGCACAAGGAAGCCACCGGAGATTTTACGTAGGTCTTCTACGCCCTCCCAACCCCGCGTGATAGCTTCTAACTATCGTTCTAGTCTCCTGTGCCATGCTCTGCAATTCTCCTTCAAGTCCATCGCATACTACATCCGCCGAGCTACCCTAGTTAACCTGACGGGTCTGGCCGGTTCCTCCAACATCACGGGCGACGACCAAAAGAAGCTCGACGTCATCTCCAATGACCTCTTCATCGAGGCCATGAGATCCTCCGGCCGATGCGCCCTTCTCGTGTCGGAAGAGGAGGAGGAAATCATCTTCTTCAAGGACGCCACCGGCGCCCGCTACGCCGTCGCCTGCGACCCCATCGACGGCTCCTCCAACCTGGATGCCGGTGTCTCTGTCGGTACCATCTTTGGCATTCACAAGCTGCCCGAAGGCTCCACCGGCACAAAGGAGGACATCCTCAAGCCCGGCTCCGAGCTGCTGGCCGCCGGCTTCACCATGTACGGCGCCTCGACGCAGCTCGTCCTCACCATGAAGGGCGGCACCGTCAACGGCTTCACTCTCGACAACGGCGTCGGCGAGTTCATCCTCACTCACCCTGACATGCGCCTGCCCCAGTCCCGCGCAATCTACTCCGTCAACGAGGGTAACTCGCTCTACTGGGAGGACAGCACCAACAACTACTTCAACTCGTTGAAGACGCCGCAGGAGAACGGCAAGCCCTACAGCGCGCGTTACATTGGTTCCATGGTGGCCGACGCCTACCGCACGTTGCTGTACGGAGGTGTCTTTGCCTACCCGGCGGACAAGAAGAGCCCCAAGGGCAAGCTTCGTATCTTGTACGAGTGCGCGCCCATGGCCTTGGTATTTGAGAACGGTTAGTACACTAAACCCCGACTTCATTGCCCCTTGCTAACATCGTCACAGCCGGTGGCCAAGCGGTAGACAGCCAAATGAGGAGAATGCTGGACGTCGTTCCCGAGGGTATTCACGACAGGGCTGGAATTTTCATGGGCAGCTTCGATGAGGTTGAAAAGGTCAAGAAGTTCCACCAGTAAACCACGTTGCTGGGGAGAACGACTGATGTCCTCGTGCTACAAACCATCATACCAAAATGTGGGAGAACACGGCGCATTTCATGATTTACTGAAACCCGGCGGGTGGTTTATTCTTCTTTAATGTGGCGCTTTGGGACAAATGCGATGAACATGAGGATGGCTGGCTACGTGCCAAGGAGGAATTGGATTGAGGATTGATTCCCCGTTGCAAGCTCAAGGATCATATCTGGCCGTAGATCGTAAACTTGCGTTGGCCAGGAATAGGATATGCATTGAATGAATTGCACGTTCAAGTGATCTACAGAATGAAGCTCGCTGACTATTGAATATGTTCCAAACACGAATACGTCCATTGAAGACGATGGTGCCCACAACACTAGCACCTGCACACTTAGAAGATCTTGGGAAACAACTTGGGTGTGTTCTTCTTCCATTCTTGGTAGTCCTTGCGGTCACCGTAGCGCTTGTCGTACTTCTTCTCGCTCATAGGCACTCCCGAAACCTTGAGGAGGAGGAAGCTGACGAAGGCCGGGCTCACATAGGACATGGCCATCGCAGTAAGTGGCCCGATGACGCCAGACGACAAGCCGAGTGCCAGTTGAATTGGTTGTGTCACAAGCACTCCAGCCGCCGCAGTCGCGATACCTGTCCACAGTGACATCTCACCAAAGTAGTTGGGGTATTGGCTAGAGAGAGAGAGAGAGAGAGAGAGAGTCAGCTTTGTTTCTTACTCTCGCAGCGTCGAGCGGCAGCGTCTCATGCGGTCTTGCAGCCTGCGCATCGCTCAGGTGTAATTGCCAGACATACCTAACACTCCAGAGACCCTTAGTCATAAACTCCTCGTCATGGGCCTTTGCGCGCTTCTCGCGCAGCCACTTGCTCTTCTGCCTGTCTGCTGTAATCTCGAACGCGAACCCGGCAATATAGACGAACAGGCCAATGGCGTCTGTAATCTTGAAGGCGGGAAGGGAGGCGAAGGCGGCGGCGGGCACAGAGTTCAGAGCGATGACGGGCATGAGACAGAGGGAGACCCAGGTCGCTTGGGCGAACCAGGCGCCGGCAAACTTGGCTGGGGACTTCTTGATCTCATCGAACCTAGAGTCTTTGCCTTCTTCCAAGATGCGTTGGAAGAGGTATGATCCGACTGCAGGTCACAATCAGTCAGTTTTTTTTTTTTTTGGCTATTACACGCGTCTAGGCGGGTGGGACATTACGTCTGACAGCCCAGAAGGCGACGGCACCGCTAATGACAACCTGCCTCCAATTGAGGGCTCCCACACCACCGGGCTTGGTGAACGCTTCGAGGAGGCCAGGGAGGGGTGCTGAACTGGCGACGGCCGAGGAGTATTTGGCACGGAGGGACGGCAGGTATAAGCTCAGAGCGGTAACGGACAAGTAGGTCAATGACCCGGAGAAGTCGTAGAAACGTTCATTTTGGGCGATGATTGACGGTATAGCGAAGGCTGCCTGGATCGCATACGCTGCTGAGACGGCGGGGATCAGAGTCCGGAGCAGAGGGTTCTTGAAGTTAGTGAGGTGCAGGAGAGATTGTAGTAAAGACATGATGGGCGATGCTTGTGCGAGGATATCGCCTGATTTCTCCCACGGTGTAAGATCGAGGGACAGGCAACTCTTTAAGAGCTACAAAATGGAGTTGAGCTTGCTGTAGAGTCAGCCCTATGGCTTTGTATGAAGTCCACTCGGCCGAAGCTTCCCCCTGGTGAGGCTGGAGTGAATGACGACACGACCTGGTCAAGGAGGGCCCAAGCTCCCTGGTCTTCGGCCTTCAGAAAGGTGCGGAATGCCGACATGCCCGTCTGCCGGATCCGGTCGCTCGGTGAGAAGACCGGCGTTTTTCTCGGTGAGTGGAACACCGACCCCGCACTCACCGAAAGATTATCGGGGTCTGAATGGCGATTACCCCACTAAGAGCTGCCCCGCGGTCGGAGGGGCTTCGAAAATGAGTCTATTTCCCAACGTACACTTGCATAACACAATCTTCTGCAATTACACTTGAGTCAATTGACGAAAGTAAATCAAGCAAGTGAAAATGGCCTCCTCCAAGCAAGTTTTCATCGCCATCATTGGTAAGAACTGCCCACCTCCCGCGACACCCCTGGGGCTCTTCTTCTTCCCATTACAAGTACCAGCGAACTTATGTTGACGGGCTGGTGTGTTACAGGTGCTGGCGGCGTCGGAAAGTGCTTCCTGTCCCAGCTCGAGGCCTTGGCCACCCGCAGACCCTCGCCGAAGCTCAACTTGATCTACATCTCGACCAGCAAGAAGGCCCTGTACGATGCCAAATACACCCCAACTCCCTTCGCCGGCGCCATCGAGGAGCTGTCTCGCGCTTCGCAAGCCCCTCCCGCTCTTCCTCAGCTCGCCGAGTACCTTGCCGCCGCCCCGGCCAAGGTCGTCCTGGTCGACAACACCAGCTCCCAGGATGTCGCCGACGCGTACCCCGTCTTCCTCGGCAAGGGAATCAGCATCGTGACCCCCAACAAGAAGGCCTTCTCTGGCTCCTACAAGCTGTGGCAGGATATCTTCAACGCGGCCTCGACCTCCGGCGCCAAGGTCTACCACGAGTCTTCCGTCGGCGCGGGCCTGCCCGTCATCTCGACGCTCAAGGACCTCGTCGACACGGGCGACCGCGTCACCAAGATCGAGGGTGTCTTCAGCGGCACCATGTCCTTCCTCTTCAACTCCTTCGCTCCGACATCGGGCGCCGGCGGCAAGTGGTCTGCCGAGGTGGCCAAGGCCAAGGAGCTGGGCTACACGGAGCCCGACCCGAGAGATGATCTCAATGGCCTCGACGTCGCCCGCAAGCTCACCATTCTCGCCAGACTGGCGGGACTCCCCGTCGAGTCGCCCACTTCGTTCCCCGTCCAGAGTTTGATTCCCAAGGAGCTCGAGTCGTGCTCGAGCGGAGACGAGTTCCTTCAGAAGCTGCACGAGTTTGACAGCCAAATGGAGGAGACCAAGGCTGCTGCGGAGAAGCAGGGCAAGGTCGTTCGCTTTGTTGGCAGCATCGATGTCGCCAGCAAGCAGGTCAAGGTTGGCCTGGAGCAGTTCGACGCATCTCACCCCATCGCCGCCCTCAAGGGTAGCGATAACATCATCAGCTTCTACACGGAACGTTACGGCAGTAACCCGCTCATCGTTCAGGGTGCGGGTGCTGGTGGTGATGTCACGGCCATGGGTGTTACGGCTGACTTGATCAAGGTATTGGGCCAGATTGCTTAAAGCTCTATGTAGCTTCATGGAATGGAATCCACTTGCCTATCCTGACTCCACGGAATATCTTGGGATGTCTACAAACAACGAAACAACAGTGACTTTCACCCGGCCGCGGGCTTGCCACCCAACTTCTCAGGCGCCATGGCATCTTAAACTCGTCTAGTCCCCCATCCGCAAATCCAACTCAACCATGATGACGACTTAGCCGGTGCAGGTGTAGCGACATATTCCTTCTGGAAGGAAATATCAGAGCCCGATGATTCGCGGCGGTTGCTATAAGCGGCCAAGTAGCCAACAGTGAAGCTGAAATCACCCGACTGGGTTCCAAAGAAGCTGCGCTGGTGTCAACAACAGTCATGGGTTATTTTGCAAACAGGCTTGCGTCTCACCTTCGCATCATGAAGCTAATTCTCTTGATGTTGGCAATGTCCAGCGGCTTGGCATCAGGCTTGTCTCTGCCTCTGTAAGTTGCTTTGAACTGCTCCCACGGGATCTTCACTTCGCCCTCCTCGGGAACAAAGTCAAACTCCCAGCTAATGGTACTCTGGTCGCGGCCATCCTCTCTCGGCGGAAGGATCTCATCCTTGATAGTGACTGTGTACTTTTTGAAATCGCTCTTCAAGACTTTGATGGCAAGCCCGTCATACTGACTCAAGTCCAGGTCAAGTGTGCCGAGCGTCCTCTGCGACGCAAATCCTGCTCCTCCCAAAGCGGTGATGTCCAGGTTGCCAAAGAACTCGGCCTTCTCCGGAGACTCGCAGTGCAAATGAGACTGGCTCTTACCACCACGTACTCTGTCGTCTGAATCGGTCCACAGACTTGAGTCCCAGGGGCTGCGGATGATGGTTAACGAGGCAAGTTCACAGGGGAACCCAAAACGAGGCCGGGTGGTCAGGCATGACCATGAGCAACGCTTGATTAGCAAATCTGGGCACACTAACTTGTCACCACCGTAAAGGTAGAGCAGTTTCCAATCGGGAGGCATGATGTGCGCTTTGGCGGGTTGGCAGAGCTGTGGCTGTATCGGCAGTTGCACTGAGGCGCAGGTTTGGGACAGGACTGATGGCACGAAGATTCGAGCTAGTCAAACTGGCAGAAAACGGGTCAAAAACCAGTCGTAGGATTCAATGATTTGGCGTTAGGGACGGAATTGGCTCCAAAATAGGGCTGTGTTGTGAACGGTTCACGGTAGACAACAGACGTCGAAGAGCGCGAAGGATCATGACGACTTCATCTGAGCGTTCGCGAGGCTGGTGAGCTCCCCATTGAATCCTGGCCAATAGGATGAGTGGAAAGAGGCGTGCAGCATGGCCCCATGCGAGCGGGTCCTGGAATCTATTGTGGCTCAGCAATCTAGTTACCTAAGCTCCTACAGACGTCCTGGACTGTGGCTGTACAACGGCTGTGATGTTCATCCTTTCTCCTTCACATCACAGCGCATACCTTAGTTCGAACAAGGCACCTGTGCCTCCCTATTTACTTGTAGTTGCTGCCTGCGATCAATTGACTTCACATGGCGTCAGTTCCGTAATTGGCAAAAGTAAGTAGGTAGGTAGTCGCCTTGGAGGTGGGAATGACACGTCGATCGCTGTGTCATTGTCTCAAATTACCCCGAACCACTACGATGCTGAGCCTATACATTTCGAAAAAGGCGGTTTGTTAGAACGTTGAATCAAGACACGGCCTGCGGAGATCATCACGGCCTGTTCCGCCAAGGAGCCGAGGAGGAAGGCCGAGAAACACTAGGGCAAATAGTACCAATCTCCAAGCCAGCCAATTGACAGGATTGCTTACCCGTTGGAGATGGTTGAACAAATTTCGCTCACGGCTAACAACGGTTCTGCAAGCTATGTCGCGAGAGAGGATTTGCAGACTCTATAATGCACCTGAAACTTGACTACACGAATGATGGTTGGTTTGTTGAAACTGAAATGGTGCGGCTCAGCGCGAGTGACACCGAGGGGCGAGCTGGGCGAGGTCGCGAAGGCGAGCGCGAAACTAAGTGTAGAATGCAACGACGAATGAAATCAGTCTTGGGTGCCCTCGATTTGCCTGTGTGTTGTGTTGTGTCATTATCCCAAAGGAAACTTTGGCGCAAGACGGCACGCCGGGCTCAAGCTCATATGTCTTTGAGGGCCTAGGGCGAGCCAAACTCGAAAATAGCTGAGGCTTAACTTAATGCTCGCCTCGACGGATTCGGATGAGCGACCTCACTTTTCTCATCGTCTCAACTTTGACGATTCATCGCCCCGGTGCGGGGCGGTACGATGCTGCTTGGGATGATCTGGCTTACATTCGAACTGGTAGAAACGGCCATGTGAGGGCAATGTGAGGGGTGTTCCTCGTTGCTGATGGATATTGACTTTGATGATTGTGGGGTGAGTTGCACCTGAAAAGCATAGTGTACGTTTATCAGTAATCACTAATCATGTACTTCTCTATACTGCGCAGCTCCCCGGCCATCCCTATTGTTGTAAGCCAGATCCCAAGTGCTTGTCCTGATTGCACCCTTGGGGAAGGCATGAAAGGGGCCGTGGACGGATGTTGTTTTAGCGCAGTGACAGGATTCTGGGGACGGGCGTTCGAGCTGGCGGGGGCCGGTCCTGTGGCCCCGTCTTCTGCCGGATCGGCTCCGAGTGTGTAACCAGGAAGATCGAGGTTCTGAGGGCTCGTGACTCAGTAAGGCGAGGAGGCGGGCAAGGCCTTTTGGCGGCCTAATATGGTTCATGGCTGAAGTCGACTGGGTCGGGATGACAATAGTACTAGATCTCCCCGATGAGTTTTGAGACGAAGTAAAGGGACAAGATTGGGTTGAATATCGGAGTAGACTGTAGGAGGTCTAGAACGTGCCTATTGAGACGCATGATTCATCCACGAGCTAACAACTCATCATGTATAGAACACACCCTAACTATTTGCCAACTCTTTCCCAGGAACCTTGATCCAAGATCCGGGATTTGGCTGCCCCGGCGCGGTTGGGGTATAGATGGGTATCGTATCGATGGAAAGGAACCTTGGGATAGTGCCTTTTGCTGTTGAACGGCCCTTAACTCCGTCTGATCTTATTCCGGCTCCGGTCCCGATTCCGTTTTCACCTACAGAAGGAAAGGCTACACAGCTACACCCACCGTTCTTCCATTTGTCGGATGATCCTGTGGAGCCACTGGAGCCTAAAAGTAAGTGCCGGGAAACATTTACCTTGATCAGAGTTCTGGTCAGTCATTTCGGCAAGCCATCATAGCGACGAATTGCAAGTGTCTAACTTCGGCACCTTTCAAAATCTCGCCGATATATCCAACCTGCCGTACCAGCCTAGGCCGTGCGCAGCGTCAACGTTCGTAGTAACTAGTAATAGCGCTACCTGTTCTTGGTTCGATAAGAGAGGGCAGAGACACAAGATGGGCACGGAGGTGGTGGGAAAAGTGTTTTGTTCCTTCCAAAGTCGCGACTCTATTTAAAGGACACGCGAAAGTGAGACCTCTAGCGGCGTCCTCATGCACATTTGCCGGCACTGCATAGGTAGGTACGTGGCATTATCGCAGGAACAACTATTATCATCCTGATGGATTGTACAACTCAGAAGAATAACTCGAGATTTCAACACTAAACCGAGTGCCATAAAGTGCTGTCCGATAGTGAGTGAATTGTTCCCGCTCCATATCGGCCTACAGATTACCTTCCCTACCCTTAGATGCTCGCACTTCGGATGGACTCCTGATTAAGAAGAGGAGGCTCTACTATTGCACGACATGACATGGCAGTGATGGCACGGGTTGGCAGAAAGCAGTCGGGGCTTAACTCCGGAAGACACGCACGCACACGGCACCCCCCCCCCCGGGACCTCACTATCCCGTCTCTTTCACGGCCACCCTCAAGCCTCTCTCTCTCTCTCTCTATCTCCTTGTCCCGCACTCCCCTCCCACTCGGCTGTCTTCCTTCTCCCTGGAAAAAGATGGCGTTCTGCCGCCCTCGGCGACTTTCCGGCGACTTCCCCCAGTTGAACAACATCCGCAGGCGTTCGGATACAAGCAAGTAGACACTGGTAGTTAGAACTAGCCCAAAAGTTGCTAAGCTTTGGAGACTGGCTGTGGGAAAGTTTAGAAACGCCTCCCATAAGTCCCCCAATTTCTTGTAATCAATCAGTGCCAAGGGAGGACATGGCCTCATCAATAACCTTTACCCCAGACTGACTGAACCGACCGACCGTTTGGGCTCTCCCCAATGACACCCCACACCCCCTGCCATACTCCTCAACCTCCGTTCAAGGGTTTCGCGGCAAAACGCCTCCAATACGTGCAAGTCAGTTCCCCTTCTGCGTCTACGTTCAAATGCTGTGTCACCAAAGCGAACTCGCGGCGACACCCCCCTTGGTAAACCGGTAAGGAAAAGGTCGTTGGTGACACATCATGCGGTCGCCGGCAACTCTTGCACGCGCTATCAATCAGTCTTGCTTCTATCCCCTGCCCTCCCCTCCCAATGCTTGGTCCTTTTTCTGCGCTTGCTGGGGGGGTGACAAGAGCAGTACGCAACCTGACAGCCGACTCGAATCCTCCTTGTGTCACCTTGGCCCAGAGCCCGACTGATAAACCCTGGGGTGGGCCTCTCTCTCTCTCTGTACGACAATGGCCATGCTTCCCCAATCGAGCAATAGACGCAGCTCGCAGCAGTAGAGAAAAGGGTGACAAGCGAAGCGGTTCAAATCCCGTCCTTCCCATGGACCATCCGAATGCCATCCTCCGAACCGCCCGCCCATCCATCATCAACCCATGAAGGTGTTGATCCCATGCCATGCCACACCACACGAATGCTCTGCAATCGCAGCCAAAGTCCCCTTTCGACATGATGTATTGAAGCCTTCTCAACGCCCGGCTTTGCCCTGCCGTTGTATACGACTTATCCGTATCATCTTCGCAATATCCGTCCAGACACCCTCCTCGTGTATCTTGACATGCCACGCTCCCGCTCAATTTGTCATGTGTAAGAACTCTCCTCTCATGCTCCTCATAAAAGGGAGCAAGAGCAAGGCGGCGGCGGCAGGCTGGTCGGACTTTGCCATGTAAGGCATGCTCCTGAAAGCGCCCCTCCACCACCCTCCTCTTCCTCCTTTCCCGACCCAATGTACTCTACGTGAGTTATCTACAGACAATCCTCCTATAGTGCTATATTCTGGGACTTTTGGCTGAGGGCCGCAATTACCAAAGCCGTTCCGCCGCCACGGCGTACGGCCCCAAAACACGTAAAGGCATATGACGACAAATCCTAGACCCGACCGGGCTACGGGCGAACATCCGCTCCGTCGGGAACTTGTCCAAGGCACAGGTTCCCTCTTATTCACGTAGATAGTCCAGGCTGCACTCGTTCTAACGTTGCTTGCGCGTGAATCTCCGTGTTGTCTTCGTCATCTTGTTTCAGGTACCTTTTGGGAGCCTTGTGGTGCGTTATGTTGCGCGTTATGTTGAAGGAAATGGGGACCATAGGTTTTCTCGTGCATATGCTTTCCGCCCCTCGTTCCCCCCATTCCGCTCTCTCCAGTTGTCTTGGTCTCTGATCCCTGTCGAGCACTCGCTTGCGGCAGAGGCTCATTCGTGGGTGGTACCGCAACATCGTTCATCTCTAGTGTACTGCTTTGCTCAGGATTGCTGGAATCCCGGTCTTGCCATTTATCGACAATCACCGTCTCTTTCTGATGTGAGGTATCACAGGAAAAAAAAAAGAAAGAAAGAAAACCGATTCCTCCCATGATTCGGTATACCTACTAAAACACGGGGACTAAGTTACTGTCTGCCTCATCCCCCATGGACGTGTCTTAGTTTTTACCCATGCTACGAATAACACAGCACCAACCTCATCCTCACCCCCAAGAGGTCTGTTCTTCAAAGTGCTTTGTCAGCTGCCTTGACCTTGGCCAAAACTCGTAATTTGTATCTCGAGTCTCGAGCTTTGTCCCGAGTCCATACGGATACTAGGAGTTAAGAAACTTTAAGCTATTTTCTCCGCACCCGACTCGGCCAGACTCATGTTTAACTCCGCCTTCCCTGCACGCTTCGTATAATCCTACGATACGTATAGTTCTCTACAACGGGCTAGAACTTGCTGCTACTCGTTACCAGGCTATCTCATCCTGTTGCTGCCGCCCTTTCGACACCCATTCCAACGCCCATCTCGTCATCGGGCACATTTACAGTTCGAACACCTCACAATGGTAAGACGGATGATACACTCATGTGATTGATATCGTGTTACTTTTTTCGAGGTTGCTCTCTATAGTAGTACAAAGGATGTTTGGGACAATCTCGTCTTTTAAATTTTGGACTGCCGTATCAAACCTCGTAACAAGACGATCCTCGATGGGATCAGTCTGCCCAAAGTGAAACGCCGTCGCCTATTCCCAGTCATATCTCCGTGAGGTCGAGCGCTTCGACCAATACATGCGATCCATACGCCTCCGAACTCCTGGCCAAAGCCACGCTGAACATGTGCAAAAGAAAAAAGGGGGGTTATGGTTGAGAAAGAGCCAAGTGGTGATAGAAACCCAAATTGTAGTCGCCAGAAATGCTAGGCTCCGATAAACAAGGATGTTGCATGTTCGTTTTTCCTCCTCCTTCGCGCTGCGTTCTCTATTGCTGGATCATGCCAGGAGATCCCGGCATGGAGAGTGGTGTTGTGGGATACTCGTAGCCGGCGTCGGAACAGTTGGCCGAGTGGTCAAACGAGTGTGAGAGCGGAGGAGTCTGCTCATCAACCCATCAGCATCATGTATTGCGGGAAGGCGGTTGTCGCATATAACTCACATGAGGGTTCGTGGGGTCGTAGGAGCTTTGCGCGTTCATGTCCATGCTGGGCATGTACGCGTAGTTCATGTAGGGAGAAAGACCATCGTCGCTGTGGTATGATTCGCGCTTGATGGCGTCTTGGAAGTGGTTCATGGGCGGCAGTGTAACTGGTACCGTTGCGGCGAGATATGTGGGATACTCGGCGGCTGACATGGGGTACGGTTGTGTGGTGTATGCGGGAGCCATGATCATCTCCTCAGCTGGGGGATAGGTTGAGTATGCGAGGAACGGAGGAGTGATGGATCTGCCGCGGTCATCCTCGTAGTGCTGTTGTGCGAAGAAGACCTCGTCGTCGTTGTTCATAGGAGGAGTGAATTGGCCCTGGTTCATGGTCTTGGTTGGTGGGGGCGTCTTTTGTGTCTTGCTCGCCGCCTTGGTCTTGGTGCTCTTGGTTGCCGCGGGCTTCTCGGTGGGGGATGTGCCTTCCTGACCAGCGCGTCTCTCGAGGTCCTCAAGGCGTCTCTTGAGCTTCTTGCCTGTAAGTTGGTGTTAGTGATTGCGTGGCTGTATCGCTGGGTGATTGTGTCTGTGACGTACGGTAGTTGCGCTGGGCAATGCGGTTCTGGATCCTCCGGCGCTCAGCGAGGTCGGAGATCTTGGTCCAGTCTTCATCAGGATTGGCGGAGCTGCTAAAGGCGCTGCTGGTTCCGTGTCCAGAGTAGGCCCTGGGAGCGGGAGTTGTTGCCGGGTAGGCGTATTGGTGATGTTGAGACATGGTGAACATTGACATTGTGAGCGGGATGTAATGTTGTCGCGCTTCTTGGTGTAAGAGGATGGTGGGGGATATTGAGGTCGAGATGACTATCAGGCTGTAGAAGGGCAAGATGTAGAAGAGGAAGCTGAAGCTTGGTGATAGTCGACAAGTCGCAACTTATATCAAGTCTAGATTGTTGGAAGTCTGGATGGTGAGGCGAGATGTGGCAGAGGAAGGGGAAAGGAAGCTATTAAATAAAAAGTAGCCCAAAGGCTTCACAGGAGCTCAGCCCGAACCGCCCAGCAAGCCGGGAGCAATGACATGGCTGGCAGCGGCAGCAACTACAGGGCTGGCAGCGTGAGTGCGAAGGACCACCAAATACAGCAGGGGTGCCTCGCAGGGCGTGGAGATGTAACTTGTAGATAGGTATAGGTTCCACATAGCCTGGCGACCCTACACTAGTACAAGGTATCGCAGCAAGACAGACGGGCAAGCAGATGAAAGGTATTCGTACAGGTTCCGTGCCTTGCGCCAGGTCGAAGACGAGGAGGGGATGGGAGGGGAGGTAGGGGGGGGGGCGTGCGGCTGTGTGGAAGGGGGTGTAAAGTGGTGTGGATGGAGTGAGGAAAGGCGAATGAGCTAGTATGGGTGATGAAAGCCTACGAATTACCCATCTCAGGTAAGGTAGGATACCACGATGCCTAGGGATGGAGATGGGGGCGCATGGGAAGGAATAAGGAGGGGGGGAGGGGCAGGAAAGCGAGGAAGAAAAAGACATAGACACAGAGACAGAGAGGCAGAAAGAGAGAGAGAGAGATGAGAATTAAGGGGAGTGTGAATAGTAACAGAAGGGTGGGGGGGTGAAGGGAACGTAGGGCAGAGAGAGAGAGTGTGTGTGTGAGTGTGTGTGTGAGGAAGAGAGAACGGCAGCCGTCCGACACAAGAGACAAGTGGGAGAGGATGGCATGGGTGATGGATGGGTGGTAAAGAAGGTGCCTGATGACCTTTTGGTTTAAACGGAGCAAGCCAAGAGCAACGCCTCGTTCCCCTCTCCGTTTACAGATACTGGCGCCTCAGTTTCGACGGGAGCTCTTTACGACGGGACGGCTTGGGAGAGAGAGGTGAAGTACGCGGTAGACGTAGGCTGTAGGCTGGCACTAGCACAGGAAAGATGGGCGCACCGGTACCCAGGGATCAGCTGGGCTGGGCCGCAGCAAGAAGATTTGACGGAGCTGGAAGAGGCCAAACGCACACTGATTGACGGCCAGGCTGCAGTCCGGTGGGAGATGAGAGGCGGCAGCAGACACATACTGGATGCTGCGCTGCACTGCATCTAGGCCGGTGGAGGATAATGTTGGACTCGGAGAGTGTCCAGGGTGGGCGGGGAGAGAGAGAGAGACAGAGAGAGAGACTGAAAAGAGGAGATGAAGATGGCAATACTCGGTAATGGAGTGGTTTGTTGCTGTGTTACAGGGGTCGGGTCCGACAGTGGTGTTGTGTTTGAGTGTCATTTTCATTCTCAAAGACATGGAAGTGTGGTGAGGTATCCGTAGAGTGGAAGAGTATCCGTACCTTAGGTTGAACAGAGTCAAGACGGGCGGTGGAGGTACGTACCTTGCATCTCCATCTCGCACTTTCTTCGATGGCTCCACCCGACCGAGTCGAGAGAAGCTGTGAGTGCACCGCGGCCGTCGTTCAAGGGTTCGCGATAAGTTTGAGTCTCCACGTCGAGGAGAGACACGGACTCACACCCAAGACCATGTACCATCTGGAGTACGTACCATTGCTCATTGGGGACAAGGGAAGGGTGGCACTGGCACTGGCACTGGCATTGGTGGCCCGGTACGGAGTACCTACGGATACACTACACACTAGGTACGGATACAAACCACAAACCTACGGGGGTCCCAGGGGGTGGAGAGACCTATGACCGGGGGAGGAAAGCAACGCCCATCAACCGCAACTTCCTCAAGACTCCATCCAGACTTTCCGTACTTGCCTCTTGGATCGTTGTACGGACACTCAGGAGCAGGAACAGGGGCAGGGGCACTCACCTTCGGTAGGTAGGTAGGTGGCTGGAACTCCAAGGAAGGCGCTGCTTCTCGGGGTTTAAACTGCGGCAGCGGCAGCGGCAGCGGCAGCGCCAACCCGACGGCACCACCACGCCCCGACTCTTACTTTACGAATACCTTCCTTCCCTTACGAATGCCTCGAATCATCCGACCTTACCTCACCTCACCTTACTTACCTTAGCTAAGTACCTACACGGTCAAGCAGCTAATCCAAATCATCCACCTCAGATACCAATGACTGCATCACTTGTACGAGAAACGCAAAAGGGTTTGGTGCCCATCAATACCCAGGACATTATCTTCATTTCGACGAGGGGACCTAGACAATCGCTGGCGCCTAGCCACTCCTCATCATAGGTATGGTATCCTTGGAAACATCCCCCGGATGTACTCCATTACGTTCAGAATTAGAAATACCCAACCGGAAACCAATTTTGTCTACCAATCTTGGGAAAGGCAGGCGAGTATTGTTAGAACCCGACAGCACCACCGTGATATATCGAGATGCTCAATAATAATAGTAGACAGGTAGATGATTCAACATCTTCCGTAGGACCAAGTCGACTGGGAGGGCTAATACCTTGGTTGGTGGCCGCACGCGGCACAGCAGAAGCATTCTCATTGGGTCTGCTTTTACTAGCCTGGGCTAATTTTGCCCACTTGCATTCGTCTCCTTCTATCAATACCTGCGAAATGCTACCTCGGGATGCCATCGCGAATCAAGCGCGTCAAGTCAAAGGCAGTCTGGTTTTGCCCATCTTATTTTGGCATCCATTGTGCATCAATCGATCCATCCTTCATCTCCAAAATCCAGGCTGGCCAGACCTCATGCTCATGGATGATGATGATGGTGGAACAGGCGACAGCTTGTCGGACTTCCCGCGTCAGTCGGATCACCAACAAATCGAATCAGCAGCTCGCTCGGTTCACATTGGATGACATAGCGTCAAGGTTTCGCTCCTTTGAGCCAGCTGTCCTGCTTTGTAAGTTTCTCTCGATATATCTCATATGCAGGAGATTAGGAATAACCTCGTGGACGCCTTGCTCTGCTTCGATGCTTCGACAAGAGTCCTAGACTTCTAGGTAGGTAGGTCGCATAGCCCTCGAGGAAACGTACATCTGAGGACTCGCAGCACCCCACCCACGTGGTACGTACCCAACGTACACCCGTATGTACAGTACTGGCACCAAGGATCACATCCCCTGCCAACTTCTTGTGTTACACAAGAAAGGACAGGGCAGGGAGTTCGTGCGGATATTGGCGCAGACAGGCTCTATCCCATCCGTATGTACTACGGACACGGATACAGAGCGACAATAAACACCTTACTCCGTACCTTATGTCCGTCCCGTAGGGCTGCACGCACAGAGAGGTCCCGTTTCTCTCGCCGCCTCCCCCTCGCGCTCATCCTCTGCTCGGCGCCTCTCTCGTTGAAGGATCTGCCAGCGCAGAAGCACCTTGGGGCCTTTGGGGGGGGGGGGTGTTTGGGAAATGGTAAACGGCAGAATGCACAATTCAGTCCGCGCCGTTCGTCGCCAACATCCGCCTATTCGTACCTAGTGTAGTCATGTCATGTCAAGGCAGCGGACAGGCAGCGTGGCCCTGGCTCCTGGAATCACCTCAGTCTACCTTACCTTGTAAGGTAATTGGTATGCGCTGTTGCGGCAGAATCGCCCTTACCCCGACGCGGGAACTGCTACCCCATTTGGGGGCCGCCGTTCAGATCCAAGCTTTCGCCTGGCGTTCTGTAGGGCGGCCGATCCCTCCACAAGTCACTACCGCCCACTTGGTGGTGAGTTGTGGCCTTTGGACCCATTCCAGGTCGCCGCCGCCCTGAGTCCATACGCAGTAAGGTACCTCAAAGTGAAGGTAAGGTACACACAGCACGGTAGCTAATCTGTAGTGACTTGGAGATTTTGGGGGAGGTTTCAAAACCACTGCTCCTCAAGCTACCTAGCTCAGCCCGCACACAAGGCCTAGCTTCTCCCAAAGTTCCTCACATAGGGCTAAGATGCGTCGTCTTAAAACCACCAAGACATTCACACACACCCACACCTTGAGTTTTGTGGCGGCTTCTCTCTGCCGCGCCATAACGTCCCTCCCGAGATGGAATCGAGTAGGATTCTGAACCTATGCGGCTATGCCTCATACCTTACCTGGCCTTCATCATTGGAACCATCAATGCCACTAGAGATATAGTAGACCATCTGGTAAGTCTCCGCGCCCTGGCACCTTAACCTCCGCCTGGACAGACCAATGTTTGACAAGAACTCACAATGGCATTTCCCGGCCCCAGTAACGAGTGTTTCGTCCTACCGTGGCCAGTGGCTGGTCATCGTTCACTAGCAAAAGAACATACCGCTGCCGTGGATGAGGGCCACGGCTCCGTGGCGAGCTCTCAATATTCTGATACAGAGGCACCCCTTGTCAGTCAATGTGTGCTTGGCAGATCTAGATGCTCCACGTCAATCCCCCCCCCCACCCCCCTCCCCGGACAACGACCGAAATCTTCTTTTGGGGGTCAAGAAATAGTCTCCGACCCAAACAACGGACGAGCTCTATTGCTCGTGTAGTTGAAGTGTGGTTAGATTATTGGCTTCTCTTACGCGGGCGCGCGCGCTCGCGCAGAATGAGTCCCGAACGGGAGATGGCTATCCAAAGGCGTACCAAGCAATAGAGTTGACACTGGCGGCATTTGCTGGGTTCGAAGGATCATCGGCAACGACCCTGCGCCTCACAGGTGTACCGTTCTAGTGGAGGCGCGAAAAGGGCGAGCGCAGATCCGTATGGACGTTGTCTGTTGCTTCCCATTGACATAATACGTCCCGAGAGGCGCGGGCTAGTTGGCTGGTACGGTTGGTTGGTAATCCGAATGAGGTCGTGACCAGGTCCGTGGGCACGCAATGTGTCGGGGAAGATGCTGTCAGAAGGTCGGACGGTGCCGTGGCTATTCCTTCAGCCTAGCACCGTTTCCGTGGACAACATATTGACGACGTCTTAGTACTGACGATATTGGAAAGAGGGGAGATGATGGCATCCACCTTGCCTTTGAACCCAGAAGATCAAGTCCCAAATCTAGCTATGGATGGTCAAGGCAGAGCCGGTGGGATTGGGAGTCTTGGACGGTAGAAGCATGGATCAACCCTTGGCACGACGTACGTAGGAGGAAACTCTTTCGAAGTGACTCCCTCTACAGCTTCGTCTAGACTCCCAGTTTATTCATACACCAGCACATATATTCGCAGGTTTATTCATTCATCCATCGTGGACGCGTAGGGATGCGAAGCCCCCGCTTGCGATGGGGCTCGATACAGCGCAGTATCGGGAAACCCTTGGCGAATCTCGAAAGGGTTCCCGAATTGATCACAGTCAATCCCGCAATCTCGCGCCTGCAAACCTGAGCCGGAGCGGGAGCTAGGTGTTCGCAGACAAGGCCATTGCCTGTAAAAGTTGATTGAAGCATCCGTGGCCAGCCGGCAATAAGGACGGGACAAAAGTGGGCTGGTCCCGGGATGGAGCGGAGCGGCGCTAGTCCCAAGATGTAGCTTCGTAAGACGGGCCAATCCCGAAGTTCCAAAGCCCCTGGTTTTTAGCCTCTTCCGCAGGCCAAGCTTTGCAGACTTTCCGGAGTATGTACTTACTCTGACTCTGTAAAGACGGGAGGTGAGTGTTGCCAAAACACGGGTCAGTGCACTAAAGTTTCTGATGATTTCCAGCGTCCATGTGGTGTGGTTTGTGGTCCAGGTTCCTTTTTTTTTTTTTTTTTCTGCTCTTCTCAATCTCTAGGATCCATGGACCACCGACCGCGGTTGCGGTGCTACTGCTAGGTGGCAGGTGCTCGATGCCAGATGCTGGGTCTACGGAGCAGGCACTGGCCGGGTGTGTCCAACCTAAAGGGAGGGGGACTCAGACTTGGGATACACTAGCTGGACCACCGTACCCCTAACCTTGCCCTGGCTATATTAAACACTGGAGCGTGCGGCCCAACCAGCATCACGAGAATTCGATTGCCTAGAGGCGAGTGGGGGAGTCTCGTGGCCGAGCTTGGTCATTAACGAAGGGAGCAGCCAGTGAGAGCCCGTCGTTGATCTTTTTCTTCGCTACGGAGTGCTGTGCTGTGGTATTTTACATCTTGCGCCCGCGCAGAGGCGCAGGGTGGGGATCCATGGGATTTTCTTCCATTCGATCTTCCCATGTGAGGCGACTGGCAAAGAGTCCTACATACCCAGCCCCAGTCCCGGACCCGACTCCAGAGACCAGGGAACCTTCAACCCCATACTGTGGTCCAAGTCCAAGGGTGCTCTCTCTCCCCTGCCGAGACGTCATCACCAAAGAGGTAAAAAGGATTCAAGGACGGGACACACGGTACCTCCCAAGATCCAAGGGGACAACCCACCACCCAACCCCAAGCCTTTCCAGCCTAGAGACGGGAAGAGGCTATTCCGGCTACCAAGCCACAGGGCGAGGTGCGCCAGCGCCGTTTTGGCGGTGTCCCGCCCGCAAGGCACACACGGCACAGCGTCACGTCTTTCCTGAATCCTTACCCGTGTCAATGTTTTACTGTTGAGTTAGGTTCTCACGGTTGTTCTATTTGACATCTGTGGAAAAAAGGTGGCTCGTATCTCGGAACACTGAATGTGCGTTTTTGGCACAATTCATTGATATCTCGCTATTTACAAACACAGAATTCGGATAGGAGAAAACTAAATCGCCACGGGAAACCTGGATGGACCACGTCCGGAGTTTCCATGGATCCTTGCCTGTAGATAGGTGCGTGTCATCGGCGAGCTGAAGATATATTCAGCATCCGAACTTCACATCGTTCATTGCAAGGATACTTGGATCCAAGAAAGCGGTCGAGACACAGATTGCTCCGTGCAGACGGGAATAAGATAGAGTGATGGGTCGTGAAAGCAACGGGCGAGATTGGGGCCACGTCCTCAGGCTCCGGCTATTGTTGGCGAGTTCCGGTAATTCGTACGACCTTTTTTGATCATCATCATCATCATCACCATCACCTTGGTCGTCCTGAATCCTACCCCCTCGGTCTGGATCCTCAACATCGCGAATCCTTCAAGGCGGGACCAGTTACGGATAGCTGATACAAGAGGCCAAAATGGACAAGGTATCGGAGCAACCCTGGAAGCTGGAAAGGGCGCAAGGTGCTTTAGGGCGGCCGACAGCCGCGCTGGTCTGGGTGTGTGTAACTGTGAATTATCAATCTCGAGACAAGGGCCCTTCCCCTTCCCCCATGTCGACTTGCAAATGTAACGTGCGCTTCATCTGCTTGTTTGGGACGCTCGTTCTCGGCCCCCAACCAGCGATAGTGACTCTAGGCTCTGGCTCTGGCTCTGTAGGCAGTACCTTAGTCTGTAAGGTAAGGTAGGCATATCCGTTTACTGGTGACTGGGTAATTAGGTGTGGTAGGAAAAGGTACTTCCGAGAACTACGCCGTACGCCTACCTTACGGTAGTGCGGTCTACCCTTCCCGTGCCTCTCAAAGGACCCCAAAGTCTCCAACGGGGGGAGGGGGGGGGGTCCAAATGACGAAGGCTTCCACGTGCTTTGTAAGACGTCTATTTTTGCAAAGTCGATTAGCAAGACGATGCCTGCTTTCCTATTCGTCCGTACTTGCTTGCAGTCACACAACAAAGTACCTGCCCCCTCATCCTCCGCATCTTCCTCCATCTACCTCAACCGTGGATGCGCGGATACAACCCTCACCTGCGCTCCTTCGGACGAAGTGACCCATCCCATCGTACACCTTGTATCCGTACTTCGTACCCATCTAACCCTTCTCCCCTTACCCCGACCTCGACCTCGACCCCTTCTCAAGAATCACCACACCTCCAAACACATCGCTGGGTCATGCCATGCCATGCCCATGCCCATGATCCGAACAATTCCCCATGTCCCTCTCTCTCTCTTCACTGAGCCTGTATCGTACGGTAACCTATATCATAACCCCGTCCATGGATACCATCGACGCCCGCAATACCTACCCTACCCCCAAACCCTTGTCTATGCCGGCCAGCCGGCTCCATCGCCAAAACACCCCTTGTCCCTGGATCTTCGACGCAGCCTGGGCAAGCCGCAAGGTCGAAAGCTCGCAGTGGGTGGGGACCTCGGACTTGGGTTCCACAGGAGAGGGTACGAATAGGCATCCAACAAAACGTGCAGCTTTTTCTCTACGGAGTATCTGTAATTGCTGCACAGCTCCAACAGGGCTGCATTTCCCATCGCTTGATGCTATTGCAGGGACACGCCGTTGAGACCGTCGGGTTCAGACATCGTCAAGCGCACACCTGACCTGACTTCTAACGACTTTTTTACGCGCCAGTAACCACCCCTCCTCTGGCGCATCGAGAACGTCTAGAACATGCCATCACCATCACCATCACAATCTTCGACCTCTGAGTGGCCCGCCGTTGCATGACACGTTGACTTGGCGATATCCATCTCCGAAATAAGGACCCAGAGTGTAACAGGACCTAATTCTTTAGCTGCTCATTATTAGATGCTGCCTGTTATGCGTCGCTGCCGTTCTCCTCGGCCCCGGGCCCAGTAGGAATTTCATTGGACCGCCAGACCGAAGCAGGATCAAATGAACACCCCAGCCATGGTTTATTTCGTCGATGCTATTGCCGAGCTTGTCAGCACTGCACTTCTTCTCTATCTGTACGATGCGATACAACGTAGCTTCCGACTTCGATTTGCAGGGGCATCACAACGCCGCAAAAACCCGTTGGACGCACTGGTTCACCAAAAAGGCGGGCGCCATGTAGTTCCCTTTAGAGACCGTTTATTATCTATCTGCACTTGTCAGCAATCCAACGGCGGCCGGTCCGTCACCCTGTCATGGCAGCGCGGACCAGAGATGCCATGCAGACGTTGTCATCACCTTGGCTCCGAACAGAGCAGAGCTGTCCAAATCGAGAAACACAACGCACCGTGCCATGCCATCAGACATGCGCATTGTCTAGGTAGTTACGCGAGGTAACGGCGCAGCACTGCCGGTCATGACGATAATCAAACGTGTCCATGAATCGGTACTCATCACATTCTCCTCTTTAGGCTACTAGTATACCCTATTCCATTCGCGATACCTTTGACTGCCTAGGTACATGATTGAAGCAGGAGCCAGCCTTGCGATCTGCCTGGTGGTTTGCATCCAGACTACTCACCTTGAACGATGATATGGTCTCTCTCTCTCTCTCTCTTTCTCCAATATGATGGACCTTGGATGATCTGTAATCCTCGGTTGCCAACGATTCTTTCCCCATCGATCGATTGAGCCCGGCACTGCGGATAAAGGTTCGTAAAGGTGGCCAAGCTCGAGCCGTAAGGGTGCATGGTGTTCTACATGTTATGCCTTCTCCTGGATATCCAGCCCTACGCCATCCAGATTGGCTTCATCCATCTTGGGAGGGGCAGAGAGATGGGCGCATAACGATTGCATCCGCCTCCAGCGAACCCCAGCCCACCACACCGAACTCTCGGGCTTGCAGGATGAAGCGGTGGGCCAGTAGGATTACACTGCTACGTGGGCCCCGGCCAGGAAAGGAAAGGGGGCGCTGCGCTGGTCCCTCTCTACAGGCTACAGTCTACAAGGCTTCTGTCGACAAGGGGGGGGGGGGGTTACCTTACGACGGGTTTGAACGATTGGGTACCAGGCCATGTTTCACGAGGCGGCTACCTGCTACTGTAAGAAATGTGCCAGCTGAAGCTCTGGGGGAAATCTGAAGAAGGGATGTTTTTTTAGGTTCTGACGATGTCCACACACATGGTGAGGGACAGCCTGGTATCCGTTACTGGGTTGGCTGCCAAGCCCGACATTTGGGATTGCTTTGCCAGCAGGGTGCAGAAATGTCGCGGGTGTGGCTGATTGTACTAGCCGTTTTCTACTTTTCCGACTTGGCCTCATTGTGGTCAGTGTACACACATCGTCACATGCGTCCGGAGAAGGGGTGGCATCTTGGAATGTAACCATTTTCATCGCATCAAGGTACTGTGTGTAATGTCGATGGGTCTTGGCCAAGAGAGGGAGGCATGGACAGAGCTAGCATGGCTAAGAATATGGAGATGGAGATGGAGCTAGAGAGAGAGAGAGAGAGAGAGAGGCAGCATCAGGCTGCCAGATTCGAGGGAAAGCAAGGGTAGGTCCGAGGAGTCCAAGGCAGTCCAGACCGGGCCAAGGTTGCGCGATTTCTCCTCCTTCTCCTCCTTCTCCTGGGTTGCTCAGGCTGTTGAGTATCCATACAACCATGGGTACGCATACGATATGGGCTGGTTGGAAGTCTTGGAGAGAGAGATGAGGAGGCAAAAAAGGGTCGCCGGGATTGGCAGCAGGTACGGTGTTGTCTCCGGAAGGCCGTTGGGTTCGGGGCAACAGCGGGTCACAGCGGGCACATGGAGCGGGCAACACCCACAAGCACAAGCACAAGCAGAGCAGAGCACAGGGCACCAGGTGGCAGATGGCAGGTTGGCAGGTACTCCATAGCGTAGTAGTCCGTAGGAGTCGTCCTTTCCCGTCCGCTTCAAAGCTCCGGAGTCGATCGGGGCCCAGTACACTAAAGCCAGGGGGGGAAGGGGGACGCCCCCGGGGGGTCGTGACGGTCGTCAGGGTTCCGAGACCCACAGCAAGCGGGGACGAATGGCTGCGACTGGCCGGCTCGCATTTGTTGCGTGGGGCCTCCACTGTCCGGGGTCGAAGCCAAAGGACAGGGCAGCGCAGCGTTTCTTTCGTTTCTGCTGCTGCGGTCCATGCAACGCTGAATAACCGTGAACCGCAAACCACGAAATCGCCAAACCGCAGGTTACAAAATGGGAACATAGGATGGTAACAATCGAGAATAGTTTGATTAAGAATCGCAAGGTAATATCTCTCCTCCTTTTGCTTGCTTTGCTTGCCTTGGCCACTGCGATACACCATCATCATCATCATCATCATCATCATCATCATCATCATCATCATCATCATCATCATCATCATCACGCCCGGTCGGTCACAAGTCACACGGAGAGTACGAAGTAATAGTGGCAGCGCAATCACTGCCCCAATCACAAATTCACTGGGTACCAGAACTGGTATGCAGGAATCAGAGACAGGGTACGGTAGGCGAATAATGGAGACATGGCGTGTTTGCTGGCCCTCGGTAAATATTCGTTATTGGTAAAAAAGTTTTTGGAAAACAATATGTTGTTGAAAATCTGGATAGGCAATTTCCAAGGCCATTATACTGCTGCCTGGGACCGACCGGTGGTCGGTTGGTCTTTAGGCTCCGCTTCGCTTGTCATGGCTGAGCAGCAAATCTCCTCAGCCCAGGTCCATTCTCTCGATGTTGGATCATGGATGAAGGTTCTTTGCGGCGGTGAATCGAGAAAGTGGATTGGAGGATGCCCCTATTTGGCTGCTTGATCTGGGCATATTTTGCAGTGCAGGGCGGACTGCCCCCCCTCCCCCCTGGAGGCTGAAAGGGAAGGATGGAAGCTGGGGGTATTCGTACTTCGTACAGAGTTGCGGGTAGAGAGATGCCATCCCATGGATGGTTGCGATTAAAGCCCACTGGGAGGAAACCCCATCATGGTGGATAGGTAGGAATTACACTTGACGATGTGGAATCCCTACCCTTGCCAACCATGACTGAAAGTTTGAACAACCTCACAGAGCGGAAGGGAAGGGAGGGGACTGCAGTGATGCCTGTGCTTTTTCTTGTGTGTCCGTGCTTGGAGTCGCGATGTCACACTCACGACGTTTGCAGATTGCGATTGCCTTGGAATCATGACGGATAATACGCCGCACCCTCGCCTTGTCGGTTCCAAAACCCAGGGCGTTGGGAGTCGCGTCCTACCTTAATCACCAGTTGAAAGCAACGCCAGAGGGATCGAGGACAAGGGGTGTGTCGCTATACATCATTTGAGGCTTGAGCCACCACCCCTCAGGTCCCCCGGGAAAAGGGTTTGCCTATTTGGGTCAAGCAATGTAGCGAGTATCTCTCTCACTGGTCTGTGCTTAAGTAATCCACAGATCAGCACTCCGCGAGACTCGAGAGAACAAGAAACGACGCCGTCTTTTTGGCCTGCTGCTAATCTGACCGCCATTATCTCAATCTCAACAGGAGCAACAAGGCAAGGGACCTCTGGGGGAATCGTCCATGTCGCGCTATGGACGGCTCAGCGCCCGCGAGAGGATTTTGGAAGCTCCATGATTGGTAATCAGACGACAACGGCCGGGCTGGGGTGCCAAAAGTGCGTACGGCGTAATTGCTGCGTATCCCCAAGGTATTTGTTTCGTCGTCTTGTGAGCTTGTCTCGATACGGTAACTCGTGCTCTGAGCCAATGGGAATCCTCACTCAACCCCAAGACACGACGCACCAGTCGTAGTACCCAGACTTCCAAAGTACCCAAAGTTCTGCCTATGTCAATACAACTCCAGCCTCTGAGCACCCTGTCTCTAGTCTACCTTACCTATACGGTAGGTTCACATAGTTATCGGCTCCGTGAAATCCGGGACAGACGTGGCTTGGTTATCGCCTACCATGCTCTGACTGCAAAACCAAATTCCTGCTGTATCATGTCTGCTACGCCCTGTAGTCACAAAAAGTTCCAGTGATGACAAAGTAGTCATCCATGGACCTTGACTTGACCTGCTTGCGGGAACATGGCAACTCCACCAGTGACGTACCTCACTGGCGCGCCATCTGATGCGCCAGTGAGATGCTTAATTGCCAGACGGATGCCCGTAGGGCTAGCTTCCATAAGCCATGGGGAAATTGGGATGACTACCTATTTGGAGAGGTAATTGCCTTCAACATCGCTTACGATGCGGTGGATGTACCGGTCGCGCCGCAGTCACCCCGAGATCCGGGCGTATGTGGCCGGCATGCACGGAGGAGAGGGAGCTGCACCGCCGTTCCGTCAAGACAGCTAGCTGCAAGGCATAATCAACGGCGTTTTCTATACGTACAAGACATGACATGCGTCCACGTCGTAGATTCGGGATTCTGGCGGTGTAGCTATCTAATTGAAATTTCCCAAAGCAGCATGGGACGTGCTGGTCACAAGAGGTTTCGTTGACAATGATGCGCAGAGCATACAGGGTCTTTTGTTCGTGCATCGACTTGCTGCAGCATCAGACTCCCCTCGTGAAATCTTGTGCGTGTAGCCTGTAGGTAAGTACTCGATAAGAGGGGGGAACGAACGGGCGAGACAATGGGGAATCGGGGCCGACCCCGGGCCTGGTGTGGCCTGGCAGGGGAGCGAGTTGTCTTACACTACGTTTGTGAAGCTGATGATTCGCTTGGGTTTGCTGTGTTGTCCCGGGGGGTGTGAGACGACAGGTAAAGAGAAGCGAGGGAATGTTTCCATGGAAGAAACGAGATTGTTACACAACGGGGCCGACAAAGCAGAAGAGTACGGAACAAACTAGTGTAGCTTGTACCTACGCGCGCACAGCCGACGCGAAGGGTGGATGACGAGGAAGCAGGGAGGGGAAAAGGCGGAGGAAGCAGGTTACACAGGGCTTGAAGAAGTTCCTGGACTGGGGTGAGGCAGATGGGAAATGGGAGCAAGTTGAAGCAAGAGGCGGAGAGACCAGGAGACCACCAGGCGGGGTCAGAGGAGCTTGGGTGCAGACTGCAGATGCCAAGCTTTCGGTGACGCCGCCAGAAAACGAGGGGTCGTAGGGCTGAAGGAAGGGCCATGGGGCGTAGTTGATTGGTCTGTTTGCTTCAAGAGCTTGTGTAACCTCAACCTTTCTCGCTTGCAGGCTAGGTACCTTGTCTTGCCTGCATAACGGTACGAGGTACGGAATACCTAAGGTACGAACACCATCACCCTGCCCGCGCGGGCCCAGGACTCCAGGAGGCTGTGAATGTGACACGCTGCTGCCAAGGTGAGGGAGGCAGGTACCTCGTTCACTGTAGCAAAACACGCACTCGGTCGAGGTATCCGTACCGTAATTTGCCTATCCGAGAGCCGCCCGCTGTTCAGGCACCCTGCCACCTCACGCCTAGCTGTCCGACCTTCCCCGAGTCCCGCTGCTTCATCCCGTCTCCCGACCAAGGCCTTGTCTAAACTCCGCAAGTACGGATAGACATTTCTTCAGACGCTGCGATCCTCTATGTATCTCTTCTTGGAGCTCTACGGAGTAGATACGACGTACAATCTGTCATCGCTTTCTTAGGCGCATCTTGGACGGCAACGCCCGCAGCAGCCCTCGGCCGAATTGAGCAACAGCACATGCTTTGTAATCTAGTAGGTACGCATGGAAGTACGCATACACCACCTTGACCACCTTATGCCAGTACATACCTACGTACCTTCGTGATGATCGACCGAAATGTCCTTCCCGCACAGAGACATCCATAATGTCACCTGCGCATCACACGCTGATATCCTCACCATGAAGATGTGCATACCCGCAAGCCACTCGTTGATGAATCTAGGTGTCTCGACAAGCCAGAATAAGGGAGTGCGCCATTTCTTGTCGGTTTCTTGCTCATTTACATCTCATCTAGCGATGGAAACGAGAGGCAAGCATACCTCCAGGGCTAAACAGCGATTGAAACAGTAGTATCCATACGTGCCCTTGGACGAGAATATCAATAAGACGGTGTTTGATAAGACAATATGTTTGATTCATCCTAGTGACTCGGTGTTTGGATTTACCAGGGGACAAACACCGACGCAGACGTTGTAACGTCGGAGGCTCCCGGCGCCGGCGGTGGTGGCGCCACAATACACAACCTGGAAGCATTGGATCATTTGGATGGTACCTATCCGTAGCCTCGCCTGGTCAAGATTTGTGCAGGCAAACACTTTTGACTAGTCATCATCCCTCCAAATCAACAACGCCCGGCGTGTGTCGTCACATTGTGAATCGGCAGAGAGATGAAACGCAATGTTCGCCTGTCTCAACAGCAGTGCCACTGCGGCTCAGCAGACGGGTGTGAAACAACAATGGGCACAAAAGCTAGTGACTGCGAGAGCCTTGTGATCTGCACTGAGGTTCCGGAGTGGCGGGCAATAGTAATTGTCAACGCATACAGAGTTTGTAGTGAAAACTCCCCTTGGGCAGTTGGTGGTCTGGGTTGGCTATCAACAACATGATGGAAATGTTGCAGGACTCGGAACCCTGATGCGGTTCATCCGTTCGTGCCTATAGGCTACACGTGGCTGGCCCGTATCATGAAGAGTCACACCGGGACTAGGCAATGGGTGCCGCTCTGAGGGAGAAGGCCCGAGGTGATCTTCTACTCTCGGTTCTTCTCGGGGCATCTGCTTCTTCTTCTTCTTCTCCATGCCTGGGTGTACTCTATCTCTCTGCACCCAACTCGCACCAGGACGGCTGCCGGCAAGACGTGGCTACGAACTCGTGGCTGTTTCTTCCTGTGCCTCTGGGCGGCTGTGCGGCGAAAGGGGACCCATCGTGCCGTTGTTGTTTGTCGTTCATGGCCCCCGATCGCAAAGAAAATCGGCCACTAGTGCGGGACACGCAGGGTCGTTGTGCCGGTACTGCAGTTGGGGTTCAGGTGCGTATGGGTAACGATGAATGCAAATGCGTCCCAATCTGTATCCATGTCTGTCAGGATAGTCAGGCAAGGTATCTTCGTAAGGGTATCCGTATGTTAGTGCGATATGGCCAATCGCGTATATCGTCTTGTCTGCGCGTGCAACGTCGTCGAGCGGCCGCCTCTCATGGGCAACAAAATATCATAGCAGTCAGTGATGGCCGGTGACACAAGGGCAGGGAGAACATGACGATGGACCCCATCGCATTGTATCCGTACGGGCAGGCATCCACCGATCCAGACAACTGCTGATACCTACCTATTGACTGAGTGGTTGCATGGCCCATTGTGACAAATTGAGCTTCAACGGCGTACCTATGCCAGCGGACTCACGGGTTACGGATACAACCCATTCTCGCTATTGCACCTTGCCTTGCCTTGCTTTGCCTCGCCCTACCTACAAATCACCTACATAAGTGTGTGATGTGGTAAAAGGTAGAGCCGAGTGTGTACGAAATGACGGAATATGGAATATGAGGCCAAGGTGAGGAACCTCAGGTACGACTGCAGAGGCCAGAAGAGGGGGGGCGGGGGGGCATTCAATCCGCTATGTCCGGATTAACGGCATATTAGCCAATCAGGTCGCGGCCATCTTTTCCCCCCTTCCGAAATTCGACCAGGACGAGCCACCGCCAATTCCCGCCAGATTTTGGTGTGCTTCCTCGAGCTTTGGTGGTGAAAAGGCGGAAGACAGGGGTCTGGACTGCAATGAGCTAAGGTACAGAAAAGGACTGGGCGCGACGACCCCTGCACCATTCTCGTCTCTCAGTCTCCGTACTTTCGTACGGATTCAATACGTACCTACCTTCCATTGCTTCTCCGCTCCACCTCACACCCGCACCCGCTCTGCACCTCACCTGCACGTTGCGCTACCTACCTGCAACTGCAAGTGAACCTGCACCCGCGCTGCGCCTTGCTCAGCACCTTAGAGCCCCATACCGTTTTGTGCGACGCGACAGAACGGTGTCCGTTTTTGTACTAGCTGAATCAGTACCGTATCAACGGGCTACAAACACTTGTCTCACAGTCAACTACACCATCCAACTCAAATCTCTACTTGACCTTGAACCCATCTACCGAGTACCCATCACATTGCCTCAATACAGTAGACGCTGTCCCGTTTCTTTAGAGAAAGCTTGCAGTTGACTCACTAGTAGGCTCTTAGTCGAAATGATTCATAATTGCCCATTGACTGGCATGACACTCACCACATTGGCATCTAAAGAACTCGAGGTGCATCAAATTCTGCTTCTTGCTACAATGCAGCCCAATGAACGACGTGGCCGCCTTACGCATATCAGGCAGCAGACTCGAGGCGGGACACAAGGCATCGTTTCCGCCTCTGGTCATTCGACGAAGATGAAAGTGAGCCAGGCCCGTTGGATTTGTCACGGAAAATGAGACGCAAGCTCGTAGGGCTGGCAAATAGCGTCAGCCATTCTTAGCTTTACTCCCATCTTTTGTGTCACACGTTCTCGTGGTCCGTCCGTTTTGGACCCCAATACGCAGGCACGAGTTGCCAATGGCTTGAATCCACGACGGAAGTGCGGCGGAGTTTACATCACCCAAGGTAGGTAGCTGCAGGCCCATCGTCGCTGCCGCTGCCGCTACCGCTGCTGCTGCCACAACCATCTCCGCCCGAGCCTCGTCTACTTCACCCTCGAGCAATCGTGAATACACGAAACATGCTGCCTTCCTCCGTGCGTGGCGACGAATCAACCATAAATACCTTGGGGTTCGGAATATGCATCCATTTCGAGTTGGTCATCGGTTTTGAGCCCGACATAACCCGCGTGGAGGAGCGCCAGGCTCCAGCAGATGATTGGAAGTGTATTTTAAGGCTGATTTTGTAAGCCTCTGACTAGTCTTTCGCTCAATCTCAGAGACTTTGCCTTTCATGCTAGTTGTCGAATGACTGGCCCTCTTGCTCTGCCCCTTGCTTTCTATAACTTGATACTCGCGCGTGCCCGACACGCACTCACGACGCGCACACTGGTCCAGGCATGCCCCCGCTGCCCCGTGATAACGGTGACGATCAATCCTTCCGCTGATACTCTATAACGTCTTCGTACTCGCCTCCAATGGGAGCTTGGCTCACAAAAGGCCCCCGAGGCCCCCGAACGAAACTCCATACACTCTTCGCTTCACATGGCCCCTTCGGCCTATCCGCGTCAACAGGTATACTCCAGACCCCATGTGAGAAATGAGGGCATCTACTATGCTTCAGGCGTATGCTGGACTTGTCGGGTTGACCGAGGGCCATTCGTTGGCCATCATCTCCCGCTCTGCCTCGGAAGGGCCTCCTCTGATTTCAGCTTTGCTGCGTTGTACAGTCCCAACTAAGGCAGGCGGGAATACAAATTCGCCCTCCTGGCTATCCGCGCATGACTACCCATCGAACACTGCGATCTGGAGTCTGGTGCTTCTTAAGAGTTGACTTCTAGGAGAAGGTGATGTGAACCGTGAGGACACCTCTGCCGGCGCAAAGAACTTTAGCTGCTGGCGTTCTGCTGTGATAAGTAGCATCATAGAATATTGAACTTGTTGTCATGATTGATCAACACGCGATATATTGATTTCTCACGCCCAGAGGGTCACCTCTGCGAAGGTCTTCTTCCCGCTACCAAGAGGCCCCTGACGTCCCTGGGGAGGTAAACGGATCAGACTATATGATTGGAAGGCCCGGTTTCCTGGACCATGTCTTTGGTGGCTGGGTTACCTCAGAACTCTATTGGGAACACGTTGTGCCGTAGGGCTGACGGAATCCTCCACGCCTCCTCCAAGGGGTCAGCATACGTCCGAGAAGTGTAAGGATCATATGGCCCCAATCAAGTATTTGAAATATCCTATTTGCCCGAGGGTGACCTTCCATAGATACGGGGCATGTAAACCTCATGAGCCATTGTGCAGAGTAGCGGGCATTCATTTTCGAGTTCTTGTCTGTCTCCTCGTCGCTCCATCTGACCCCCAAATTCTGGTTTCCAAGTTCCAATCAAAGTGACGGCCGAGAAAATATCCATCATCTCGTCACTGGAACCTCAATTTGGACAGAATCACTGGACGTTAGAAACGCATGATGAACGTCTGAATGCAAGTAGTACCTGCGGATGCTGGAAGTACGTAGTGTCTCCATAACACAGCCTATCCCTCCTATCCCTACTGTCATTAATATTTTTGTTATCGTTTTTGTCTTGACTGTCTTTCTTATTCTTGTTATCCCGAGCTTTGGTTTGTGTATACGAGGAGGTCTAGTAGATCGACGTTGGGTAGCTTTGGTAATAAGGTTAAGGATATAAGAACAGGTGTTTTAAGAGGCTATAGATTTTCCCTACATAGAGACCTGTCGCCTTGGACCTGGATCACGGCCACTGATATTGCCTGACGTTGGGCACATTATCGTCGCCAAACCTTAGCAATGGCGTTCTGCTTGGAGTCCGAACTGGTTAACTATATCAAAGTGTGCCTTGCGCCTTATTTCGTTTGTCTCATTGTATGTTGTTATTAGTGAATGTTTAGTGAAGAATATTGGAAGGGAAGACGAGCTTGGTAGATGTATAATGATTTGTAACTCGTGCTATGTGATTGATATCTCGGCTGAGCCTGTTGACCGTCTCGTGTAACGTCGGGAGGATCTCGCATAGAGTCCGAATGTTCTTGGTATCTCGTTGACACCGCCTATAAACGTTTCGATGGTCTTTCGGAGAGTATCGAACTCGCTCTTGGTGTTGGCTTTGAGCTTATTAAAAGCCTCTAGGGGAGCTATAGGGGCTGTGGAAAGCGTTACCGTGATTTGAATGCTGGGACATGATGTTAATGACTAAAAGATTATTCGTGTCAAGATTTGCTTACGCGCTTGCGAGGTTGAAAGAAGGGGAACAGAAGAGAGAGAAGAAAGGAAGAGGCAAGGTATTAAAAATGCTTGCCTTGACGGAGGGTCTTCCTTACCTTGACGTGCCTTCTCTACGGCGAGGGAGTGACGACTTGACTTTTGCAGGCACCGAGGTGAGTCGTGCTGCACTGAATTGCTAAGACCAGAGTAGGATACACCTAAGCGGCCCGCGACATCGCTGCTGACGTTCCCAGCGTGTAACAACTAGCAGAACTGTCTGTGGCTACGGCCAGAAAGCCTTCATCATGCATCCAAAATCAACTAGGAGTGCCTGGGTCTGTGGTTCACCGCATGTTACGTCTTCCTCTCCCCGGCATAGCTGTCCTGCTATCCTGCAACTATTTGAGCTAGCATGGCTAGGAAACTAAACGATAGTGGCCAGAGACATCGTCATATCCGACGGGTACATCATTCACCTCACCAGGCAGAGAGCATTGGAAAGCATCATTGGAGAACAGACGATGAGTTGGAAAAATTGGATTCATGGACCTGACCCTTTACACATACACAAGTAGGTCGAGCCATATAGCATGGCAACCTACACCACACTGCCAAGAAGAACAGTTCATACAAGTATACCGCCCGACTGAAGCCAACACTACCATGCGCGACCCCGGATAGGAAGTATGTTAGCAACAGAAATCTTTGGGCCGTGTCCATAAAGCCCGAGACGTCATCCCCAGCCTCCGGCGCCAGTTCCAGGTCCGCCTGCTCCTTACCGTATAATCAAAATGACACAACCCCATCGCCGATACCGAACGAGAAAAGAAACCCTTGCTTTTGCCCCCCGCCTTTTCGATGCTACATATGAAGAGAGAAAGAGAGAAAGAGAGTCCGCGCAAGTTGAAGATGCATCCCAGATCAGCCTGATATGCCCCCATCTGGGCAGAGAAAGCGGGTATCAATACGTCTACGATGCTTTGCGTTTTCCGATGAAATCACTGACCTCCAAGTCGCCGAGTTATGCATGAGTCTATGTTGGCCCCAGAACGTTTACAATATGTCAGGTGTCCTTAGCCTCAAAGGCCAGGGTGCCCCCCTTGGGCCGGTTCGACGACATTGTCTGACAGATTTATAAGGAGCTGGGCCAAACATCTCTTGGTCGCAGCGTCATCTCTAAGGACTGAAGAAAACGTCGCATCTCGGAGGGGCTCCGGAAGGCACTGGCGCAGAGCCTCACGCGCGCGCGCGTTGTCACTCAATCTATGCGGCATTAGCGAGAGGCTGGAAACAATCGACTTATCTCGGGGAACTTACCGGAGAAAGCATCTGACAACGTGCTTGAGAAGCCGAGCCGTTTGCTGCTCGACGAGCTGAGCAACCATGTTGCTGAGGACAGTGCCCACCGCGTAAAAGCGTTCGTAGGTAGCGCAGATGTAGTTGAGCCCATTATCGTCCAATAAGATCTTTTGCACAATGAAAATCGCCACAGTTTTGCTCAGCTCTGAGCCTGTCTCCATAATACGTAGGCAAAGAGGAATGATCTCTGTGGTGAGCAGAAAGTTGATGACCTCGGAAGAATCGTTCTTGACGAGGGCGCCAATGACGCCTAGCGACGTCAGACGTAGGTATTCGAACGGTCTCGATTTAGAGGTCGTGTTGAGGAAGGGATACAGGAATAAAGGGATGTGGGCTAGGAAATGTGAGCTCATGGACAGGTAAGGTTGAAGGAAATCACCTGGATGGCGTACCATTCAGAAACAACGTGCGCGTATCATTGTGGGAGGCAACACACTGAAGAAGTGCTAGCGCGTTGCATACCCTGTTGGAAGCCGCGGCAGTGAGTTGTGAAGGGTTCAGGAGAGTGTAGACCGAGATGATCTCCTGCAGCAGCGATGTCATGACTCCTGCATGGGTTTAGTATGCGTCAATCACACTGGTCTCTAGGCATGAAAGCTTACCGAACGAATGCCACAATATGAGCGCAAGCTCGGGAACCTGTTCTCGCTTCTTGCTCAGCTCCAGAAGGGCCGCCTCGCGGGTGCTCTCGCTCAGCAGATCAGCAATGTAAGCCATTGTTCTTCGATTGTCCTCGGATATATTGTCGTGGCCGCCTTCCGGGGCATGCGCATTGCCAAGAGACGGAACCGCAGAATGCCCACTAGCAAGTCTATTGTAGTGCTGCTGCTGCTGCTGCTGCTGCTGCTGCTGTTGCTGCTGTTGCTGTTGCTGCTGCTGTTGCTGCTGTTGCTGTACCGCAGAAGCGGCAGCAGCAGCAGCTTGCTGAGCATGGTGGTGTTGATTAGACTGCTGATGCATCCATGCCGAGTCAGTCTGTGGATTAAACTGATGGTGTCCGTAAACGTGCTGAGCGGGCATCATCTTCGAATCCCAGATCCGTGTGCTTCACAGAGTATGTGATCGACGAAAATATGTGTGGTGTTGAAACGAGGGAAGCCGCTGCACCGATCGCAGCCAGTTATTTCTATCGCAGCCTCTTAATGAGAAATCTATTCAGACTGGCACTGCAGCAACAGGAACGATGATGGGCTGCGGCACTTCGTCGAAGTGTTTGATGTGTGGGCGGCGGGCGGCGGGCGGCGGCGGATCGAGTATGTCAACTTCGCGAGGGGCGATTTGGGCTTTGGGCTCTTGTGCGCGAGGCCGTTGGAAGACTTGATCGCAGATTCGCAATGGGTACAGAGGCCTTAGAGTTGTGACGTCGTGATTTCGTGGTGGCGCGAACTTCAAACGTTTGGCGGGTGCTTCGTGGTCGAGGGGACAAATGTGCGTACTCAGTCAGGGTGGAGGTTGTGAACAATAAACCAGGCAGGTAAGGTTGAGAGGATGAGGCACACAGAGAAAGGCAAGACCAGACAGGGTTAGGTAATTGGTCGGTAGTCAGGCTAAGGTTAGGTGTACATAAGGAGAGCGTTGGAGACAGGGAACACAGGTGCCTCATGCGCAGGCATGGATGGAATAGCGCGCAACTACCTTACCTAGACCAGCATCGGGCCTGGTTAGTCAGCACCACCGCTCTTCCTCATGCTTTCTCACCTTGAATCACCTTAACCTCCCCGCTCCTGACTGGCGTGTACTTACCTAAGCTGCCTTTCAAACCTTGCCTTAACTTAAAGCAGAAGGCAATCTATAATGAAAGGGCACATACTACGTATATCACAGCGACTAGCATTGGCTAGGTGATTGCTATACTACCTTCCTCCAATGACCTTACCATGGCCAACCTGAAGTACCTCCATCCCATAACGTAGAAGACCTGTGGGAGAGGAGGAGGTGACAGTCTCACGCCTGGCCTCATTGTGACCGGCGTGCCTAGGAGACTTGTACGACTGGACGGAAATTGCCGTCATGGCTTTCTGCGTTCAACCTTGGGGTTGCCCGTGCAGCTCAAGTCCTGAAATAGGCTCTTTGGTACGTATTATGGATTCAATTAACATAGAGGGGAGTCACTTTGGCTGGTCATGCCTCCAAGTTTCTGAGTCTGCCCAGCGACGTAGAGAGGCATGAACAGCATGTCGCACCTCGCGAAGCTTTGGGTACCTGACATGATCATTGCCCATTGCCCATGCTGGTCTGACGCGCCTGTCCGCAAAGACATCATAGTCCTAAGCTAGGCACTTCCAGCAGAATCTGAGTAGCCCTCCTCGTGGAGCCTCCGGATTTCTCATGCCTACCGGCACCCAATGACTGAGTGATAGCTTCTGACTTGGATCATCTCTTCCCTAGCACCGATATAGCGTAGATGGAGTAGCAAATCATACGGCCAGTTGCTTTCACAAGAACCAAGTGCACGCATGTACGTACATACAATTGTCGTTTCTAAACTTCTCTCTACACATTCACCTAATTGAATTAGTTGACATTACCCAACCGCCGCCGAATGCCTTAATGGACACCTAATCAAGTAATGCCGTTCCTTCGCCAAGGCCGAAAGTTGCTTACTGATTGGCAGTTGGCTACTAAAACACCTCGATTGACGCCAAGGCGACCGAGAAAAGAAAACAAATAAGTTAAAGGTCAGAAAGGTAGTACGATGAGATTGTTTGCCCTTGATGTCCTCCACCCGCTCTAGTGTCCTGAAGTCGGGCTCCCAGATCGGAGCTAATCCTTGACCACAGATGCTCTCCGCGCTTTTCAGCTGAACGCTTCCGCCCCATCTAAAGACGAAGCTCCCTCAAAACCTGATCGGCCATATTCTTGTATTGCCACGTGTTTCCCACCAGTCGCTTGAATTGGATTCCGTGGAGAGACAACAACGGGACCTTGACAATGAATATCTCAAACTCGAGAACCATGCTTCCGCCAAGATCACTCTGAACGTGAGTGCTCGTCTCACCGGGTACTCTTCTGGATGATGCTCCCGCTTCACGCGAGACACTGTCAACCGAGACGTCCGAGTTGGAGTAACTGTGATCTGCCTCAGTACGTCCAGAGCCACGCGGCGTACTCGGTCCCCGTTCTGTTGCTGGCAAGTCTTCTCGTTCCCGGTCGCCACCTCTGATTGCCCCAAAACTGAAGCGTCTCCTGTGACCTGGTGGCGCTTGTCCCGGGCTACCGGGAACCTCTGGTACTTTCTTGAGGTCAATGCTGGGTGTATGCTTGCACAAGAAGCCACCCTTGATCTCGGTATAGTCGACCCCTAGGCCCTTGAGCACCCGTTTGATATCCGCCCGAATCTCCGTGACGTTCTTGGTAGAAGTTGTTGAAACGCTAAACAGGCCTTTGAGGAAAACGGGCTTAGCCAAGTCTGAGCTGTCCAGCCTGTCAGTAGACACGCCACTCTGGTCGCCTTGCTCTTGATCCGTTTCCTCCGGCACGTTAGCCTCTCGAGCTTCCTCCCGGCGAAGCCTGCGCTGTTGAATACTCTCACGCCTAGCATGACCGAGTGATTTCGCTCTCATGGACGCAGCCCGTGTTTGCTGGTTGTCTCTAGACGCGGGCGGTGGTCGATCGGTGGCCGTAGATTGGTCTGAGCCGCTCGTCGGGGGTGGCTCCTTCGGTGTCCGCGTCGACCCACGGCGACGCAAGTCTGCAGAATTTACGCTTGTAGATCGGCCCAAACCTTTGCGCCGCGACGATTGACCACCGGCCGATAAGGGAGGGCTAAGAAGATCACCGTGCTGTGGCTGACTGCTACCGGATCGGAGCGGGAGAGGGTCCGGTTCTTCTCGTTCCCGTCTGCCGCGACGTATACTGAAGCTTTTCCGGGGCATCGGTGCAGGAGGGGCCTCGGAGGGTGAGTGAACCTGGACTACAGGCGGATGAGATCGGTCTCTATCGGACCTTTCCGGATCCCTGCGTCTTCGAGTACTGAAGCGACGGAGGATGCCTGCAGCGGTGCTCTCCTTCTTTGGGAGTGGCTCGGGCGGCACCTCTGGAGAAAGGGGTGTTGTTGGCGAAAGTTGAGAGTTCTTTACAGCGTCGGGGGCTTCATCTTCACCGTGAGTCCTTGCGCGAGGACGAGAACGGCCGCCCGTGACCCGTTCGCCGGGCATTTCGTAAGTAGAGGAGTTGGTATGAGCCTCCTGCGGCGGTGTGATCTCAGGGATTGCAGGCTTCTCCTTCTCCTTATGAGCACTGGCAGCTCCAGGGTTCTTCTCAACACGATCGCGATCCTGTTTTTCTCGTACCAGATAGTAGATTGAAACCAACGGACTGAACGCGTTGAGAGGATCATTGCCGAGCTGGAGAGCCTCGGAACTAGGAGCCGTCAACGTGTCACGACTGGTGCCAGAGTTCCTCCTCTTGTAAAAGTCAAAGCCAAAGCCGCGCTTCTTCTCAACGTCTTTGGCAGGCTGAGGGAGCTCTTTTTCGCGCTGGTAAAGTTTGACTGCGCGTTGGTAATCCTCAGACTCGATTGTCCGTTCCAGCTGTGCCTTGATGGCGTCTGGTGAGCCAAAGTTGAATCCAGTCATGGCGTTGACAACGTCGGAGTCCAATGGGAGCGAGAGGGGTTCTCGTGGAGGTAATCCGTTGTCCAGTGGGCTGTTGTAACCCTTCGTCATCCACGGGTGGACCATGACTTCCTGCATGGTTGCACGTTGCTTGGGATCCGTTACAAGCATCCGAGATAGCAGGTGCTTGCATTCTGCGTCATGTTAGATACGGACCAGACGCAGTATAAGTCTGAGCAACTTACCACTCGAAAGCCAACTTGGGTAGTCCACCAACCCCTTTTTGATCTTGGCGTGTAGGGCAGGCATGCTCTGGTCGTCAAAGGGCACCTTTCCACACACCAAAACGTAAAGAACAATGCCGAAACTCCATACGTCAACCTCGGGCCCGGTATAGGCTCTAGCCTGAAGCAACTCCGGGGCGGCAAAGTAAAGGCTGCCGCAAAAGGTTTTGAGATGACCGCGTGGAGCAAACAAATTGCTAAGCCCGAAGTCAATGATCTTGATGTCTCCATTTTTACTGATGAGAATATTTTCGATCTTGAGGTCTCGGTGGACAATGCTGTTCCGGTGACAGTAGTCGAGAGCGCTGGCGATTTGACGGCTGAACTTGCGGGCTTGCTTCTCCTTCAACTTGCCGTGGGAAATGATGTAGTCAAGCATCTGGCCGCCATTGACGTACTCGCAGAGCATGTACCAATGGTAGTTGGTGCGCACAACGTCTCGCATACCACAGATGTTGGGATGGCTTAAGAGAGTGACGATGGCGGCCTCTCGGGCGGTCCTGATCTCCTTAGATTGGTCCGCTCTCTCCTTATCCGCTCTCGTCTGATGTTGCGTATCTTCCGTTGAGCCACGGGGAATAATCTTGCAGGCGACCTGCGATTGGGTAGGAGCGTGGGTTAGCGAGCACGATACGGTTGGGTTGAGAGGCAAGGCAGAGGCCATGGGAGGGGGAAGAAACATACCTGCTCGCCTGTATCCTCTTTACGGGCCAGCTTCACCTTTCCCATGCTACCGGCACCGATTGTTTTGCCCAAGATCCATTTTCCGGATGGGGTTGGTATCGTGGTGCGTGATCTACTCGTATGCTTCGAAGTGGTTGGCGCGCCTGGGCTCCGGGGGTCGGGCCCGCCTTGATTGCTGACAGGAGCAGGCCCGGCGTTGTTGGCGACTGCGGTGCTCGCGGGCATGTCGGCAGCGTGATTGTATCGATGATTTGATCTGGTGCTGCTTTGACGCTGGGGACGCGAGGCGTCGGCGCGGGTTGTCGAGGGCGGGTGTTGGCTTGAGGCGTTTCGCTTGGAGTGAAGGACTACTTGTGGTGTTTCATACTCATGTCGTGGTAGACTGTCTTGAGCGAAACGAGAAGCAGCTGAGCCAGCGGAAGCGACAGCAGCAGGAACGGTGGCGGAGGTGGAGGAAGGTTGTCGAGAGTGAGAGCGGTATTGAAGTTGCTCGCTCGCG